TATTTAAATCAATAGCAGAGTAAGCAAAGGCCAATGTATTAATGCTTCTATTAGAACTTTAAAGGATAGTATGAGGACTGAAGAATACATTACGCTGGAGTGAGTGAGTGAGTGAGTGGGGTTTTACGCCGCTTTTAGCAATATTCCAGCAATATCACGGCGGGGGACACCAGAAATGGGCTTCACACATTGTACCCATGTCGGGAATCGAACCCGGGTCTTCGGCGTGACGAGCGAACGCTTTAACCACTAGGCTACCCGACCGCCCCTCATTACGCTGGAGAATAACAATATTGACCAAATCAACAACAAAAGGCATGAGATAATGAACTGATTTAATGTAAAACAACTTGCTGCCCAGTAAGATATATGATATGTCTCTATACCACATTTACACTTACAACATCATTAGATTTAAGCAAGGATAAGCATTTATGGATGAACAACTTCAACTCCAACTCCAACTTCTAAATGCCTATCACAGAAGTTATCATTAGATTTGTCTAATACAATCATGTAGTGAGTGAGTGAGTGAGTGAGTATGAAATATGACGCCGAATGCACACTATTGTGCTCATGGTTGGATTCGAACTCGGACTTCGATCTAACAACCCAATATTATAACAAGTAGGCCGCCATTACAACAAGTTTACCGTCTCCAACCCGTAATGAGAAACAAGCTTATCTTCTCACGTGCTCTTATGGAGGAATTATCCTGGCTTTAATGGATAATACTCTACAAGTTACCACAACATGTATCCCTCTACACAACAGATCCGGTTATGTGCCTTGATTCGTGCACCCGCGCAGTGGGACTTTATGCAAATTTGAGGCTTATATCCAGGTATAGGTAATCTGTTGAACAAGTACAATACACATCGAATGTTCAGAGTACATGCATCGTTAAAGCTTGTGCCAAGTGTAGCGTGTCCTGTAACGCATGACACCTTTCTACAAAGGACCGACCATTTATTATTACGCTCTATAAATTCTCTAAAGCTGCAATACTGAAAAGATAAAAGTGGCTCAGAAATAAAATGAGGAGGAATGTTGGTTGGTTGGTTTGTTGTTTAACGCCGCACTCAGCCATATTCCAGCTATATGACGGCGGTCTGTAAATAATCAAGTCTGGACCAAACAATCCAGTGATTGATATCATGAGCATCGATCCACGCAATCGGGATCGATGACATGTATCAACCAAGTCAGCGAGCCTGACCACCCGATCCCGTTAGTCGCCTTTTACGACAAGCATGGGTTGCTGAAGACCTATCCTACCCCAGAATCTTCACGGGTCAGGAGGAATGTAAAACAGGCATATTGAAATACATGTAGTTAGATTGTATGTTTAACGCCGCACTCAGCAATATTCAATCTCTCTCTCTCTGTCTCTCTCTCTCTCTGTCTCTCTCTCTCTCTCAGTACTAATATGCTCACTCACTTACCAAATGGCTGGCCTCTGAGTGCCCTCCGTCAGAGACAGAGTCCCTTTGTGCCCATTGTCCTGTACAGTTTATTGACCAGGCACTTCAAGAAAAACTATTTTGCACGGGCGGGTACCCATGCATGTCCAACAACGGACAAGGCCCCGGGAATGGGACGTTTCGAGTGTTAGTATGTACACTTACCTTTATACCTTGCGTTTATACCTTGAAGATCTGGGTTAGCATAGGTCTTCAGCAACCCATGCTTGCCGTACACGCAAAAGACAACTATGTTCATCGTAAGAGGCAAATTACGGGGTCGGGTGGTCAGACTCGCTGACTTGGTTGATTCGTGTCATCGTATCCCAATTGTGTGGATCGATGTTCATGATATCAATCACTCGATCGTCTGGTCCAGACTCGATTATTTACAGGCCGCCGTCATGTAGCTAGAATATTGCTGCGTGCGGCGTTAAACGACAAACAAAACATACAAACCTTGCGTTTTTATTTTGTAATGCTTGGTTTACGGATCCGGCGAACCATCAATAATGTAGCAAGAAATAAAATCCAGTATAAAGGTTTTTTCTTTTCAATTAACGATATGCATGATGACATATTATGCTTTTGAATAAATAATTGCAAATGGTTTCCCTGCCGAATAATTGACGAATGTTCAATGACCCGTAAATGTTCGCTAAAATGCTCATAGCTCCTCCAGGCAGCGCTTTGTTCCAATATAAAGACTATATAGTCCTTAATCTTCCAGTATATTGCTTCTTCATTCTGTTTTAATAAATTCTTTGGCCCTATTCGCCATCACACTCTCGTTTCAGAGTGAGTGAGTTGGGTTTAACGCCGCTTTTAACATTATATCACGGCGTGTCAGCTGAATGTGGGAGGAAAATCGGTGAAACCCACGAGCACGGGTATGGTGCTGACAAACCTAGAAACATAATCGGGGCGAACCGGGATTCGAACCCACAATCATAGGATTCTGGCGTGCCCAAGGGACGCAACTCTGTACAGCAAATTGCGGCGCCTTAGACGACTGGGCCACCCGTGCCCCCTCTCGTTTCAGACATGACATAATCATCTCCATGTGGCTTATCACTAATTTAGCACACAATTTTCTCGCTCATGACCTTAGTTTTAATGTTAATTTTGTGTGTTAGCGCTGTGTCATTGATATATCGAAATCAAAATGAATAATGAATTTTAACATCCTTGTTTCATTTTTAAAAAAATGCGAAATGGAAAATATACAAATTGAAAAACAAATCTCACCCTATACCGACCAAATATTTTTACAAACAAATGAAAACATTAGGGTTTTATAAAAGACACCACAAAAAAAACCTAAACTAAACTACCAAAGATTATGAGTGGAAAATCCGTAACACAGCTAATAAAAAAGAAAGGCTTATATATAAGTAGGCATAAATACAACAATGGAGCTAGTTCAACACGACACACACTCGAACTTGCTAGCTCTTGTCAACGCCGAAAAGATAAAATAGTACCATGTTTGAAACTGAGATATCATATCTCATTTTCGTTTGGGTTTCATTCTCTGTTTGATTTTTGTCATAACTACACTTGATTAAGCGGGTTAATAACGTGACGTTTTAACGACTTGAATCAAATGTGCATTGTCTGCCAATTCGTCTGAGAATAGTTCACTGAGCGGACATGGTTGGGAGGCGTTTGTACATGCATAAACGATACGCTGTGATGTAGACTTGGACGGGCTCTGTTTCGTTATGATAAGATATAATACCCTTTAATTTATCAAACAACGGCAACAAGTAAAACGGAACCATTTTTGTTTCCAAAACATAAGAATTATTCAGTGCATTTGGAACCAGAAAAAAGATATACATCGGACATAAAAATCACTTTATCAATTTATTTTAGAGAGAATACTTCTTCAAGTCTAGCTGTGGGTCATATCCTGCCCTGTAAGTATTTACAAGTAGATGTGATTTGTAGCACTGCCTCTTGAGACATGACTTTGTACTGTTTGATAAAAACGTCCTTCCAAGGTCGTCCACTACAGAACACACGAAGTCGTCTCTTGACGTGAAATATTTTGTGAAGCAATGAAAATATTTTCACGTGGTCAATATGAACCTTATGTGTGGTGCATGAAATCTTCACTGGAAGCAGTTCTAGTTTAGAAATTAATTTAAACAATAAATAAATCCAAGTCATATTTCATCTTCGTTTCTGGTGTGTTTCGAATGCCTAAATAAACCAACCTTTTATAAGCTTTAAAAAACAATGTTTTAGTTTTCGTGTTTTTTTTTCAATTGTTTTAAATAATGCGATGAATTTACATTTTATTAGGGTACGATATCATGCATCAACCAAGTCAGCTAGGAAGACCACCCGATCCCTTTAGTCGCCTCTAAGGGGGCGGTCGGGTAGCCTGACGGTTAAAGCATTCGCTCGTAACGCCGAAGACCCGGGTTCGATTCCCGACATGGGTACAGTGTGTGAAGCCCAATTCTGTCCCCCGCCGTGATATTACTGGAATGTTGCTAAAAGCGGCGTAAAACCATACTTACTCACTCACTAGTCGCCTCTAACGGCAAGCATGGGTTCTAGCTCGGACCTTCACAGGTCTAATCTGTAAAAATTCGTGCTAAGTGTTCGTGTAATCATTTGAGGAGCCACATGGAGAGACAAGCGTCAGTCCAGCATAGTACATGCGTTTTTTACAGGCATTAAATGTAACTGTGTTTAGTTGGTTAGGCTAACATCAACATTTTTTGCAATTGTTTTTGAAACAAATGTTACGGGGTCAAGAAGTAGTGCTTGTGTTTATCTTGATCCAATTTTAGGGAGGCCGAAAGTAAACAAAATGTATATATTTTCCTCATAACGACCTTTGGTTGTATATTTCACGGTCTGGAAACCATGTGGACTATATAGTACTTTCCCCCGTGGGCAAAACCTGTCGTCAGTCATGCATGCGCGGACACATATTGTTGCTGTTGCTGAGACATCGCTATACATTCACCTGCTCTGGGGTTAGAGCGGACATATGCTATTCACACTGACAACAAGATGTACAATTACCATTCTCGATTGGCCAGTGTGTTATCATTCTGTTTTTCGCTAGTAAATGTTCAAAACAAAAACATATCTCTGTAAACCAGAGACCATATAATAGATTATATGGTCTCTGCCGTAAACTAAAAAATATCTCGATAGTGGTGTCTCTGAAAATTGAAATGTCTCATGACTGTCACACACACACACACACACACACACACACACATATTAGTATTGTGCATTAATTTGCATGTCAACAATTAATTAACACTACGAATTAGTTGCCTTATAAAAAACAAGTTTTATCATTACATGGAATACGTAAATTATTTTCTTATATATCAGCACCTGTGTTATTGCTTCGCATGACGGATACAGACATTATTTTTTTAACAGCACAAAAAAAAACCTGTTTAAATTGCGACATTTTGAGCATCGGTCAATGCTGCCTGTCCTGGTTGAAGCGTCGTGATTCCCCGCATCACGTGACCGGCCCATAATGCCTAGTAACATTTTGTGACGTCACGAGGTCTCTCCCCAACTCGTGGAGTCACACAGTGCCGGCTTGACTCAGCAGAAGAATGTCACTTTCACGTACAGCTACCCTCAGACTTCTGCTGCAGAACAAGGTAAATGAGGACAACACTATCAGAAACAGTTTAGCCTGTAAATTTGATGTCCATTGCACATATGTTGGCCACACGCGGCGTGTGAAGTGTTGATTCAGCCGCGAGCTCGATATTGAGCTTCACCTGTAGGCTATAGTGACGACGACAGACCTCACATTTTACTTTGATTGGTTCGGAAATCACTCATGTCACGTTCATTGATTCATCTTGAACATCACACATATGTTTGTGCAATATTTCAATGTATGTTGGCGTATTTAGCGTCCGTAAACCTCCCAAAACTAGGTGAAAGATAATGTTTGTCAAGGTCAAATTCTCATCAGCTGTCAAATGATCAATGGGACCCATTTCACACACACGCTAGATAATAAGTAGGTAACGAAGGACACGGTGACATACATTCTGATAAATATAGTTCAGTATTGCAGGGGGTAACTACATTGTGACACATAAATTCCAACCCTAATTCAAGATGGACAAACTCAGCCTATATCAATATTACCTACTTACAGGCCCTCCTATCTATTGAAAAGAAGCATTATCGGAATTAATGTAAGCAATATCATGCGATATGAATGCAGTAACTATCGTCGTAACATCGATTCTCATTGGAATCACCTCACAGTCGCTATTGGAACTGACAGCATCGGCTAACGAGCACATTCCGTCATATCATGTCCGTTGTCGCATTTCGCAAACTCCTACAACACTTTCTGTCGCCACTTCACACAAAACATGGCTGACAGTATCAATGTAATTTGATGGGTGTCAAATGGAAAGTTCATCTGTCCTACTTTACCCATAATTTCATTTACTGTTTACGTCCTGAGACCTAGATCTAGTCTTTGCCCAATAATTATTGATACATCAGGGCAAATAGAAGCTAATGTTAGTCAGTAACAACAGTAAGGTATTTGTCTGTGGCTGAGGGGTGCTTCAACAATATTGTATAATTTGTATGTATTTTATTAACATATATACAATTACCATTAACTATACCATTACCAAGTCCCGATATGTGTGTTTTGTCTACCATACAGCTATCAAGATTGCTGGGATCTGGTGGGCAGATGGTCGAGATGTCAGACATCTTCAGCGTGTTCGGGGACCATACCTGACTACTGCCCATTTTTGAGATAACTGATACAAGAAAACATGCCTCCTGCTTTTGATAACAAATTCTGATGCATATGAATACTAGTTGCTCAATGCCATGTATTTTATGTTTTATAGTGAAGACATTGAGTCAGCTGTACCAAAAGAAATTACTTCGCTTCTCGCTTATTTGTCTATCACAGCCATTTCTCGCACACTGTTTTTGCCGGAAAGGGTGTTGTCAGTTAACTACGATCGGCTTTTGACGGTTGCATCAGGGCTTATTCCGCTGCCTTTGATCGAGTTTCCCATCGTGGCTGTGCACATATTCCGCTAACAACCGCTGTCAAATGCGATAGTGTTTCTTCTGTTCGCAATATAAATGCATTCGGTTCCAGTATATGCAATATCAGACTGTTTTCTCAGAATGATTATCTTACTCGTACTGAGAAGATCAGGCATGTTCAAATGGTGTAGGGTACCATGAAAGTTACATAAAAATTCAGTCCATGCAGCCCTCTAGGTAGCGACCATTTTGTTGGCCAAATGTGACTTATATCTGTGATTGGCGACCTACATTTTTCTACTGTTCAGCGCTTGGCTACCAAAATGTAAACATAACTAGCGACACTATCTGTTTAAGATATTATATTGGCTCCTAAAAAACTTTTGGCTCCTTAGTTTAACCTGTAATATATAAGGGGCATCAGGAAAAGCTTAGAAATTTACTCGCCCCAGGATATCCAGCGTTAGAAATTGGCACTAGTCCTGTAGTCCTTGCCAAACTGCCCAATAGTTAAGTTATCCTAAGGACTAGTAGAATTTTGCCATTTTTTAGGGTTTTGCTATATGTTATCATTATAAGGACTAGTGGACTAAAAATGTTAGTTTCTACCCCTGATATCTATAACATCAGACACACCAACTCAGGCCTTTGCGCTAAGTTGCTTCCCTGTCGTGTTATGCTATTTGGTCCTGTTTGGCAACACGTGTTTCACGTGATTGAACAACTTATCACTGCTTGTGGTGTCTATCTCGTCATGCATGTATTTTGTTATCCACAAGGTGATCATGGTAATTTGCCTGTTCAGCTATGCCTGTTCAGCCAATAGTTGCATTATTAATTCTGCCCATCATAACACATCCTTTGAGGGGGGTGTGTGTGTGTAAGGGGAGGCAATCCCTTATTGGTGAAAACAATTACTAGGTGGTACTTGAAGCCATTATTAAGCATGTACAGTGTTTGAATTTAAAATGAAAGTCAAGGAGTCCTTGTCAGAACATCACAACCCTACCAGTTATTTAGGGATCACAGGATTCAAATACCATCAGATAATGACTTTTCATTTACTGTCGCTGCCCCCTGGCAAGACTTGGCAGGGCATGTTAGTATTTCATATTGTAATAATTAGGTTTTACAAAATGTTAGCATGGTTAGAATACATGTGCATAAACATAATTGAACAATGACCTTGCGGTGTTTTTGTTTCAGAGCCTTGTTCTGCCAGCTGTTGTGGGTGCACGCAATGCCACAACTACAACAGTGAGTATGGTTGTGTTTCATTCAACATGTTCAATGATTCATAAGCTTCAATATGTATATTTTTAATGCCAACTACAAAAAAACAACCTGTTTTGTTATACTTGGTTACTAAGTTCACATTGAATGGGGGCGACAGGGTAGCCTAGTGGTTAAAGCCTTTTGCTCTTCATGTCCCTACATAGGTGCAGTGTGTGAAGCCCCCGCATTGATATAGCTGGAAATTTTGCTAAAAGCGGCGTAAAACCATACTCACCCACACTGAATAGTTATGCTAGACCTATGTACGGATGTCACTATTGTCATTGATCTATGAACACTTCAATTTCTGATTTACTGTCGATAAAGCATTGATTATTGATCGATTGATGTCAGTATTGTTGATCACAAATTAAGAGTAAATTCCCAACACAAGTAATTAGGGATATCAACTTCTTGATTCATATTACTAAAGTACTCACGGAAATGAAAAAAACCTGTTTTTTCGACCTCAGATCTTAAATTAATGCAGTTAATATACAAAATATGTAAATATTCAAACAACTTAATTAGTACTAATTGGGCCGTGGCACAAATACAACGTATCAAATGTTTTTATGCCTTTTTACACGTAAAAGCGTGTAAAAATGTGAATAAAACAGACTATTGTGAAACAGGGCATAACCAGGTGTAAGTAGATCAAGGTGACCAATGACACCTTGACGACAGGTGAGAACAGGTGCATAATGCCTATAGTCTGTTTCTGCTATGTCAATTTGGACTTAGTTTTATTTTTGAATGTTGAAAGTGCCAACAAATTACCTCCTGTAAACATGGTAAAGTACATTGTGTATTGTTCACTGAGATCAAACTAGCAAATCCAGACTAGTACTTTTCGAGTTGTTTTGTTATTTCGTATTTACAGCTACGTAACACTTTGTGTCGATTTTTAAATTCAGAAAAACAGTTTTTTTTCATTTGTGTGAGTACTTTAATAACTTTTTGTACAGGTCACTTTTGAATGCATTAAATCATATTTGCTAGTACTACAGCCCAAGCCTTCCTTTATCAAGACAATATGGCATTTATCTGATAAAACACTGCAGGGAGAATAAACCACTTGGGGCTGCACCCCTCATGTCTCTATTGCTTGTAGCAGCTAACATTTAGACCTCTCCATTGGATCAAGTGCTCAGTGACTGTGTCATTGTGCCATAATGGTATGGATGGCTGCCCATGCATTCAGCCAGTGATGTGCCTTGTCACTCTTTGTATAAATGCCAATGTGATATAGCTGGCCTGTTGCTGATGGTGGTAGCAGTATATTATTACCTAATAACTAATCACATCTCACGGCTTACTGCATTTTTAGTTACATGCTTTTTTTAGATGACATTGGTAACACTTTTTCCGTATTCGACGTAATAAGCGCCCAGGGTGCTCTCAAAACTAGAAATAGGGGGCTCTTATTATCCCCCGCCACGAAGTGGAAGGGGGATATAGGAATGGGTGCCGACCTTCCGTCCGTCCGTCACATTCGTCCGTCCGCCACGAAGTGGAAGGGGGATATAGGAATGGGTGCCGTCCGTCACATTTCGTTTCCAGAGCAGATCTTGAAAACCATGCCATATTTCTTCACCAAACTTGGCACATAGATAGGTCTAGTGGTGAACTGGTGCCTTTTCATAGTTTGGGATTTAATTTTTTTTTATTTTTCGAGGTTTCCATGGCAACGACTTTGATTTAGACTGAAAATGGCGGTAGTCCTCGTTTCCGGAGCAGATCTTGAAAACCGTACCATATTTCTTCACCAAACTTGGCACATAAATACATCTAGTGGTGAACTGGTGCCTTTTGATAGTTTGGGATTTTAAAAAAAAATATTTTTCGAGTTTCCATGGCAACGACTTTGATTTAGACTGAAAATGGCCGTAGTCCTCGTTTCCGGAGCAGATCTTGAAAACTGTACTATATTTCTTCACCAAACTTGGCACATAGATAGATCTAGTGGTGAACTGGTGCCTTTTGATAGTTTGGGATATCTAAAAAATATATTTTTGGAGTTTCCATGGCAACGACTTTGATTTAGACTGAAAATGGCCGTAGTCCTCGTTACCGGATCAGATCTTGAAAACCGTACCATATTTATTCACCAAACTTGGCACATAATGCCATCTCACAGTATTGAATACATTACCTTTCTTGTTGGTAAGTTCTGCATTGCTTGAGTGTATGTTCCTCCAAAAGTGTCTTGGACACAGTTGTTGCATTCACTGACTAACTTCATGCAGAAACACAACCCATTACAAATACAACAGTGTAACTGATCTTAAACCTACTCAACTGTATAAACACTATATATTCTTGTCAACCATACTCTGTACTTCACTTGCTTGATGACGGTGTCAGAACCTTCACCGAAACCATCGCTCCTAATTGTAATAAAGAAGTTGTTCGTCCATATGTCTCATCCTTACTCATCATGCTCATTACAAATTCAGTTACATATTCTATCATAAACTGCAGATGGAAAAACAACACCAGTAATAACTTTTTTTACTGCTGCAATTAGGCCATTTACATTGCACACAACCCGACATGTCATATTGGCGGTGGATGTGAGTATTTCATGCTTGTTAGAATATAATTTTGGTGAAAGAGTTGAAAGATAGTAAATTTCGTGGTTTATGCTGACAGCCTGAAATGTTTATATACGGCAGATATATTTTTTTCCAGAATTTAATTGCCCGTAATTAAGGGTGCATATAACACACGAGTGCGTATTATACACAAATGAATAAGTCTTGTGTATATTGATCAATCGGAAGGTAGCCAATTGGGATTGTTCACTAGCCAATACATTGAGGAACAAAGTATGTGGTGAAAAGGGAAAATGTACATACCACATATTTCAAACGTTTTCTTGTATTGAAAAATATGCCTCAAATAGGCAGTTCTTGGAAAAACTGATGCTGGGATATGTTTGTACATAGCCAGGTAAGAGTAGTTAATTTCTGGATAAAAACTAGATAAAGTATTAACTTAAAATGGAAGAATGCAGATATCCTCTTCAATGTCATAAATTGTTAAAGCAGTTGGATGATAATGGCAAACATGAGTTAACTGGGCACAGGGTGTTGGTAATGTTCAAGTGTTTATGGGAATATTTAAGTGAGTGAAAGATGTATTTGACAAAACTGGTATGAAACTGTTTAATTTTCACATTATCTTAGCAATTATAGTAAATTTAAGGTCACATCTTCAAACTGAAATTCAGGAGAATTTGAAGATGAATGTCAAATCTTGTTTAAGTGTAACCAGTATTCCAATTTCAGATCTACATATCTTTCTTTCTTGAATAATGATTATAAATCTGAAGTGTTGATGGTTAATGTTATCCATGGTATGGCTACATACACAAAAAGGATTTTTAATATCAGATTCAGAAAATGTAATTTCTGTTTTTCCATGTGACAGTATATTATGATTAAATATTAGTTGTGCTTTCGGCCTTGTGTAATTGGAATTTTATCATTATATGACAGGCATTGTATGTTTATCTGGTTAGTAGTTATGGTTACCGTATTTGACGTAATAAGCCCTGGGGCTCTCTCAAAATTAGAAATAGGGTGCGCTAATTGTAGTATAATTTTGGTAAAAAAGAAAACAGAATTGAAAAATCGTTAATTTTGTTGTTTGGCGAACTCAGAAAACAAACCGCTCTCAGTATTTTACTCCTTCAGATATATGTCACTTACAAATTATGCAACCTACCTATTAACATGCAGAGCTCCAGATAAGCTTTTGGTGTTGTGGGTATTTTACCCATGGATTTTAAAATCATTGGGTATCAGTAATTCTATCTGCGTATTGAAATATCTGTTACCCACTAGTTTTTACACATGTGGGTATTTAAGTTAAATATTTAAAAACACTATTCATCTAGTCCCTGCAAACTGGTGTCGTGTGGGTTCGAGAGCTTTATAGGACTCAAAAATACCACGATACTTCCACAAGAAAGTGTGATGGCAAATGATCATGATGTAACTGTCATCGTGGAGTTTGGCAAGGTTGACGGAATGCCCGTTTATAATTTCAAAATAAGTTGCTGATTTGCTAATCGAATACGCAGGGTTACTTCACAATATTTTGATGATACGCACAAGTTTTATTTTTGAGCGTATCTGTAATGTTCGTTGCGTATTTGATACGCTTGGATTATATTTTACTGCATATTTCTGCATTTCTGATGCGTATTTCACGCAGATACGCACTTTATCTGGAGCTCTGGCTATGTATTTGTGATAACTTAGCTCCACATTACCGATGAGTAGAAATGAGAGAAGGATGATGTATTTAATGTTCATAACCACTTCTTTTTCAGCAACCTTTTTTTGGTAAAATCAGCTTGAATATTTTTTTCTCAAAACATGTTAATTGTTGTTATTGTGTCGGCTATGGTGCTTGTCATGGCAAGTCACCAGTTTAACAATCGAGATATCCAGCTAGTGAATAAAAATACTACAACCACCTACCCAAGATAAGTTTATAAATACAAATATCCAAAAACGCACATCTAGTTTTTAATTAATCACCATTTTCAGAAGTACCATAACAGCACTGCCAAAGGCTAATTTTCATATCATGTGAGCGGACTTTTCTCTCTTTAAACAAGCACTGACATCGGAACAGACTGACTCTTTACATATTGTTTTGAGTAATTATTTGTTATTAAAACAATGACTGTGAGGTGCACGACTATGTATTTATGCAATGTGACCGTATTGCTACCTCTCCGTATGGCTTCGATGACAGCATGTGATGTATACAAATGAAAACTACTCAAATAGTTCTTGGAGTTTTGAGATAATTTCTCACTGAAAGTTAGCCATGACAAATCTTGACATATAGACTCGTAAAAAAAATAAAACAGAAGATTATAAGATCATTGTTGCATTGATAAATATGAGTTGACAGTGTCTCGGTATGTGGTAAAACGGGTTCTATGGAACGGGGTGAACGGAAGTCGGAAGTATCGTTGGGACACAATTTTGCCGAAATTATTATGTAAACATTCTTGAATGAAATCATGAATAAAATTAATAAAATAGATCACAAACATAAGTCCAGATGTACAATTAACACTTAAACAGTGTAAGAAAGGGGTTAACTTGCGTAATTCAATGCGGATTTGTTGATATTCTATTTCCAATGACGGATCATGAAAGTCATACGACCGCCTGAAATGATACTAAAGAAAAAGTCTGTGCATATTATACAGGAGAGATATATTTATCCAGAATTTATTTGCCCGTAATTAATGATGCGCATAACCATAATAACACACGAGTGCGTTTTATACTCGAATAAGTCAGTTTTGTGTACCCTGATGAATATGAAGGGGCGCTTATTGGGATTGTTCACTTGCATATTTATTAGCAAATATCGCCATTAGAGCAGGGCGCTTATGACGTCGAATACGAGATTATAATTTAATGGCTTGCAGTTGTGAAGAATGACTTACTAGGACTGCGTGGCATACTTGTATAGTGTTACAGGGTTTGAATATATTTTCAGATCACTATTTACAGGCTGAACACATATATATGTGAACTGCAGTGTTGCATAAATGTTAGTGGTGGGACGTTACACCGATGCATTGGTGGATAACGATTTTTTTATTTCTCGATACAAGTATCTATCACAGTCACACACTAAGTAAAAAAATATTGATTCTGACCTTAAATGTTTGATTTAATAGGAAACACTAATCAGAAGTGCAAGTTATTAGTGAAAATATAAATATTTTCATTTGTTGTGCCATACTTCACACTGCAAACTGTAAATCATCAGTGTGCCAGGTATTTGGCCATCCTGTCTATGAAAAAGATGGCTTACGCACCACAGGTAAGAGCACATGCAAGTATCATGATACATATCGGATCGTGAGTAAGGTATCGTGATAGGTGTCAGATTACACAGTTGGTGTATCGTCCCAGCCCTAATAAATGTGCATCGAGGACTTAGAAATGTATAGAATGGACCCCCAAAAATACCATATTTCTGACGACAAATATAAGGGCTTTAATTATTAAAGTAATTGTTAATTCTAATAGTACAGTACACTACACCATTAAATTAATTTAAAGGACCCTTGAATTTATTTATTTGGGGTTATCTGGACCCCTTTTTGTTGGCCAAGACAATTCCCTGATAATGCATAAAAAGGCACTACCGTATTCGACGTAATAAGCGCCCCGCTCTAATAAGCGCCCACGGCGATATTTGCTAATATATTGGCTAGTGAACAATCCCAATTAGCCCCCCTTCCGATTTATCAATGAAGACAAGACTTATTTATTCGTGTATAATACGCACTCCTGTGTTATATGCACCTTTAAGTATGGGCATTTATATTCTGGAAAAATGGATATGTCGTATATACACAGTTCAGACTATCAGCACAAACCACGAAATTTATCTTTCAACTCTGTTTTTTCCACCAAAGTAATGTTCTAATAAGAGCCCCCAAGTAATGTTCTAATAAGAGCCCCCTATTTCTAATTTTGAGAGCGCCCTGGGCGCTTATTACGTCGAATACGGTATGTCTTATTTTAATTAGACATGTATGGCACCTTGAACTTTATACAATATGTTTCACACTTGAGGAAGAACAAGAAGAGATGACGATGAGAAGTCATCTGAAACAGCATTAACTTAAAATTGTTTAAATAAAGTTTTCTCATTGATGTAAATGTACCAAAAAGACTGGACCCAAGGTAGTATAATCATATTGAATACCCTGAGAAAACTGTCCACACTCCAAGTGCTTATGCTCAGTGGCTCAAAGAATTATCTGGAGCCCTTGTGAAATATTCAGCAAGTAGTCTCAACATGCTCAATGTGTTTCTGACATTCTCTGACATTCTCTCCCTCCCTTACCCTTGCTATGCATGAGATTCGATGCTGACAAAGATTTACCTTTGTGACTTAGTATTTAGAGATGGTGTTTGGCCATACATTTTGCCGACTAGAGTATAGAATGATCAGACTCTTGATGTGATTATTCACACATGATACTTAAGTTGAATGATTTACCATCTTATATTTAGCCAACTCTACAAACAGATGGTCTATGTTTATTATGGTGATTTTGACACACATAATGTTCAAGTTTATAATTTTTTTAATATGCAGTCTGTATTTCAGCCCTTTGTCTTCAACATGTGTGTAAAATACTGTTAAATTTCCCAAATTCAAATTCAAAATTTCCCAGTTAATGTTTTCCGAATGATTTAGCTTTTCAAAGGTGACTTGTATATATGATATATGATGATATAGAAAAAAGTGGTTTGCCAGTAAGAATTACCTTTTTCTTTTGCATTAATGCAGTATTTGAAAAACCTGTATTTGATATAAAATAACTTTTCAAACCACCAATTTTGTAGATGATGATGATGATGATGATGATGATGATGCATTTTGCCTGATTCACTTGCCATGGACTTGTTTGGAAATTTAGTTTGAAAATAGTTGAATAGATAAAATTCTGAACTTTAGCCATTAGTCTGAAGCCCAAGTCAAGTGAAATTTCCCCTGGTTTTAACTAAACTTTAGTAAACATGGAAAGAACTGCTTATTATTAGGGCTGGGACTGTACAGCAATTGTGCGATCTGATATGTATCAATGATACCTTGGCCATGATCCAATACGTATCACGAAACTTGCATGTGCTCTTATCTGTGGTCCTTAAGCCATATTTTTCAAAGGCAGGATTGTCAAATACCTGGCACACTGACTATTTACAGTTGGCAGTGTCAAGTATGGTGCAATGGATGAAAATATGTACTTTTTCCCTTCTAAATTTCACTACTTATTAGTGCTTGGTGTAACAGTCATTAACAGTCATTAAAGTACACATTTGAGGTATGAATCAGTATTTTTTACTTTTTGTGTGACTGTGATCGCTACTTGTATCGTGATGTAAAATATCGCGATCCACCGATAGTTTTCGGCTCAGGCCAAACATTTGTCAAGAAGCTTTACATTTGGGTATTTCTACATTGAAAGTGATCATTGAGCATATGTCTTGATTTTAATGAGGCTCCACCGCATTGTCTGACACCTTCATTTTCCTCACAGTATAGAATGCAGGGATGATTTGTCACTGTGAGGAGGCTTTGAGTGAGTGAGTGAGTATGGTTTTACGCCGCTTTTAGCAATATCCCAGCGGGGGACACCAGAAATGGGCTTCACACATTGTACCCATGTCAGGAATTGAACCCGGGTCTTCGGCGTGACGAGTGAACGCTTTAACCACTAGGCAACCCGAGGCTTTGAACTAGATGTACTGATTGCAGCACTTGACAGGATGACACACATGGATAACAAGGGTTAACTGACACACATGAGGTTGTTAATCGGTTGTTAACCAATGTTTCTGTGCTTTCTCTTTTTTGATTCCATCCATCACTCATTAGCATACATTACTGGAAGTACTTCCGCTTCCTGTATGAACCAGACTATCAACCAGACTGAGCCAGGATATTAACGAAACCAAATAGTTAGCAGGGATAATAAGGGTTAACTTGGTTAAGTCCTCTATCATTATGTCAGGTTATTGAAAACAACATAGGGCAGGGATAGAAATTAGCACTAGGGTTTAACTTGTTTAAGATACCCTTTTCTAAATTCAAATCAAATTACAGAAAAAGATGGCCTGTCGGTCACACTTGGGAAGGCCATGATGACCTTAGCCTCTTGGCCTTACTGTTGTTCTCAAGGAAGTTGTCCTTATTTACTTGCCTTGCTTTGAAAACCCCCCTTTATTTTTAAGGGTGACCCTGCTTTTTGTCATGTGAGGCCCCAACATATGCCCAAAGGGCAGATGGTAACAGGAATAGATACTGCAATATGCCCTCATTCACTGTTAATGCTAATCATTTGAGTGTACATTTATTTGTTTGACAGTATTTAAGTATGTTTAATATGTCTGCATTTCCATTTCAGAATTTAAGAGATTTCCTTGCTAATGAAATTCCACAAAAACAAAAGGAAGTTGTGGAATTTCGGAAAAAGTATGGAGAAACCAAAGTGGGAGAGGTCAACGTGAACATGGTCAGTGTGACAACAATGAAGCTGTTTACTTTTAATAATTATTAATGAATTAATTTAGTGAATGATGGCCCGTGAAGATCCGGGGTTGAATAGGTCTTCAGCAACCCATGCTTGCCGTAAAAGGCGACTATGCTTGTCGTAAGAGACAACTAACGGGATCGGGTGGTCAGGCTTGCTGACTTGGTTGTTGCATGTCATCGTATCCCAATTGCGTGGATCGATGCTCATGATATCAATCACTTGATTGTCTGGTCCAGACTCGATAACTTACAGACCGCCTTCATATAGCTGGAATATTGCTGAGTGCGGCGTAAAACAACAAACAAACAAACAAAATCATATGCATGATGACATTGTCTGGCATGTTTATTTCCCGTGGCAATTTGGTGTGAGACTTGGTCCCAACACTGTATAAATCGGGTTGTCAGACTCGGTGACTTGGTTGATTTGCAAGGTTTTCATTTCATCGTACCCCGATGGCGTGGATCATTGTTCACAATATCTATCACTGGATAGTCTGGTCCTGACTCGATTATTGACAGGCTGCTATCATCATGATCGTAACAGCTGGAATACGCTGAGTGAAGGATCGGTTAAAAAACCAACAAATCTGCTATGGTTCCTGTTGTCATACTCCTTTCAAACAGGTACAGTTATGAGAGTTTTAAGATGTAGAACTGTAAGGGTATGCGGTATTACCGGTACACCAGTATATTGTGGTGGGAGCAGTGTGAGGTTAAAGTATGGCAATATATTGCAATACAAAATCCAGGTCAATACACAGCCGATAGAACTGGATCGGTAAAGTTTGTCTCCATCAAAAAAACATGAGATCTGGAATTGCCTTGTTACTCAGATATCCCACATGGTTATTTATATGCATGCTCAATGCTAATCACATGGAGGACAAAAAATTGTAATGTATGTGTATTTACATTAATGTATTACCAACTGCATTGTAAAAGCCATATGGCATGTCTATTGTATATTAGGAAATTGTCATTTGATGTTTCTCATCGTCAGCACCCGATTCCCAGGTTTAATTTGATAATCAAATAGTTTGTTAGTGTAACAGCCTGGTGGTTGAAAAGCATGAGGCATTAGTTTTAGTTGACACCCTGTGATATATCTGAAATACTGCATCAAGCTGACACACGAAACAGCGATAGAAACTAACTGTTTTAGTCTACTAGTCCTTATAATGATAACATATTGAAAACCCCTTAAGAAAGGCAAATTTTTACTAGTCCTTAGGATACCTGAACTATTAAGCAACTTGGCAAGGACTATAGGACTAGTGCCAGTTTCTAAAACTGTGAAATAACTGAAATACTCCCACATCAAGCCAACACCATGATATAACTGAATACTCCCACATCAAGCAGACACCATGATATAACCCAAATACTCCCACATCAAGCAGAGACGCTGTCTTATAACTGAATTACTCCCACCTCAAGCTGACACACTGTGATATAACTCAAATACTCCCACATCAAGCAGAGATGCTGTCTTATAACTGAATTACTCCTACCTCAAGCTGACACACTGTGATATAACTCAAATACTCCCACATCAAGCAGAGACGCTGTCTTATAACTGAATTACTCCTACCTCAAGCTGACATACTGTGATATAACTGAAATACTCCCACATCAAGCAGAGACGCTGTCTTATAACTGAATTACTCCTACCTCAAGCTGACATACTGTGATATAACTGAAATACTCCCACATCAAGCAGAGACGCTGTCTTATAACTGAATTACTCCTACCTCAAGCTGACAGGCTGTGATATAACTGAAATACTCCCACATCAAGCAGAGACGCTGTCTTATAACTGAATTACTCCTACCTCAAGCTGACATGCTGTGATATAACTGAAATACTCCCACATCAAGCAGAGACGCTGTCTTATAACTGAATTACTCCTACCTCAAGCTGACATGCTGTGATATAACTGAAATACTCCCACATCAAGCAGAGACGCTGTCTTATAACTGAATTACTCCCACCTCAAGCTGACATACTGTGATATAACTGAAATACTCCCACATCAAGCAGAGACGCTGTCTTATAACTGAATTACTCCTACCTCAAGCTGACAGGGTGTGATATAACTGAAATACTCCCACATCAAGCAGAGACGCTGTCTTATAACTGAATTACTCCTACCTCAAGCTGACAGGGTGTGATATAACTGAAATACTCCCACATCAAGCAGAGACGCTGTCTTATAACTGAATTACTCCCACCTCAAGCTGACACGCTGTGATATAACTGAAATACTCCCACATCAAGCAGAGACGCTGTCTTATAACTGAATTACTCCTACCTCAAGCTGACATGCTGTGATATAACTGAAATACTCCCACATCAAGCAGAGACGCTGTCTTATAACTGAATTACTACTACCTCAAGCTGACACGCTGTGATATAACTGAAATACTCCCCCATCAAGGAGAGACGCTGTCTTATAACTGAATTACTCCTACCTCAAGCTGACATGCTGTGATATAACTGAAATACTCCCACATCAAGCAGAGACGCTGTCTTATAACTGAATTACTCCTACCTCAAGCTGACATGCTGTGATATAACTGAAATACTCCCACATCAAGCAGAGACGCTGTCTTATAACTGAATTACTCCCACCTCAAGCTGACAGGCTGTGATATAACTGAAATACTCCCACATCAAGCAGAGACGCTGCCTTATAACTGAATTACTCCTACCTCAAGCTGACACGCTGTGATATAAATGAAATACTCCCACATCAAGCAGAGACGCTGTCTTATAACTGAATTACTCCTACCTCAAGCTGACACGCTGTGATATAACTGAAATACTCCCACATCAAGCAGAGATGCTGTCTTATAACTGAATTACTCCCACCTCAAGCTGACACGCTGTGATATATAACTGAAATACTCCCACATCGAGCAGAGATGCTGTCTTATAACTGAATTACTACTACCTCAAGCTGACACACTGTGATATAACTCAAATACTCCCACATCAAGCAGAGATGCTGTCTTATAACTGAATTACTACTACCTCAAGCTGACACACTGTGATATAACTCAAATACTCCCACATCAAGCAGAGATGCTGTCTTATAACTGAATTACTACTACCTCAAGCTGACACACTGTGATATAACTGAATTACTCCCACCTCAAGTTGACATGCTGTAATACAACTCAAATACTCCCACTTCAAGCTGACACGCTGATAAACTGAAACAGTTTTCTAAGCCGTGTAAAACTCAACTCTGCTGAAAGTCTGCTGGGTCAATAGAAAGCCTTCATACAGTAACAATAACTAAGTGTACATGGAATGATTTAAGTTCACAAGAGGCGAATAAAAATAAATGAAATTAATTAGGAAGTCAACGTCATACAAAGTTTATGAATATTGATTTCAGATTATTTTTTCATTTTCTTCCAGATGTATGGTGGTATGAGAGGCATCAAAGGTCTTGTGACAGAAACCTCTGTCCTTGACCCTGATGAGGGCATCCGTTTCCGTGGCTACAGTATCCCTGAGTGCCAGAAGATCCTGCCCACAGCAGGAGGGAAGGGGGAGGAACCCCTGCCTGAAGGCTTGTTCTGGCTGCTGGTGACAGGGCAGGTGCCCACACAAGCTCAAGCTGACTCAATCACACAGGTGGGTGGGGCATAACATTAATTATCTGCGGATCCACAGAATTCCACCGATTTTGTTACGTCAAGGGTCATGTGATACATGCCATTACAATGTACACAAAAGCCTTATAAATAGGCCCCCAGACCCCTGGCTAACTGTCTGTTGTTTTTGACAAAATATATATTCTCATCCGTGAAATTGTATTATGCCTGCCACAAGGCTCACAAGATCGTACATTTCTGTGTGTTATGTTTGATATTTATGGTATGGAATCACATATTAGGCATTGCAATCTATATGCATGCATGCATGTCAGGTGTAGATTTTATCAACAAATTCATATGTAGCCAGCTGGGCTTGTTCAATTTAAAAGTTACTGGCCCTTCTCACAACTAAATCGACCAAAACTAAATGTTGCAGGCCATGACTGAGTTACTCAGGGGACCTGAAAATTTTAGAACTCCTCACCCCAACTCCTGCAGTCTGAGATTAAATCTTGGCTTGCATTTGCCTCAGTTCGTGGTGATTTTATGAGCAAATATAGATGTTGTTCTTGTATAGAACATTACGAAATGGCCGTCGGTTGTATCATTCTACTGAGATGATCTTTGAACCAACCATTCACACGTCCTCATCCCGCCCTTAATATTTTCTCATCAAAATTATGTGAGTCACGAGCAGTGTCTAATAAAAAAAAAATAAACATACACAGAGAAGGGGTGAAATTTTGACTAGCCAGACGGGCCATCTACTTTATTTCAGCAAGTCTTTCATAATTTACACTGGCCATGGGCCAATGGGCCAGGAGTTAAATCGACCCCTCTGTTTGTTGTGTAGGAGTGGAACAACCGTGCAGCGCTGCCAAACCACGTGATCACTATGTTGAACAACTTCCCCAGCAACCTCCACCCCATGTCCCAATTCTCGGCCGCCATCACCGCTCTCAACTCCGAGAGTAAGTTCGCCAAGGCATACGCAGAAGGTGTCAACAAGAAACTCTACTGGGAGGTAAGATAGTTCCTGTGTTGGTCGCTTCTCTCAAACATGGCAGTATCATCCACTTTTGTTTGTTTCTAATCATAAAATCATAATGATGTAAGCTGATTCCCATCTACAATACATACAAGAGAAGCAACAGTATTGATAATGTATGAATAAGATAATGCATTTACTTCAGGGTACATACAGGCATGAAAAAGCCTCGAATTTTAAGATCCCTCTTGAGATTTTTTTGTCAACCTTGAAATGCCTTGAAAATCACCAAAAGAGCTTGAAAAGCTTTGAATTTGTACAAAATGACATATACTTGTTAATCAAAGTATTAAAGCACACAAAAATATGTACCAAAGGTTTTTAAGTGAGATTTATCACAGTGATAGATAAGTGTAGCAAAGACCCTGAAGAATTCATGACTTTATTTCTTTTTTGGTTTGGTGAAAAATAAATCTTGTTGCAAAATGTGTGATGGTCATACTGCATATATATAGTATGCTGGATTTAATAAAATATTGACAGACTAAGGCCGACCCATACTTCGTTATACTTTGGCTGGACTAACGAGACTATGCATAGTCCAATCAAAATCGTGTTATTAAATCAACGTTCATGCAGATTTCGGTCAATTGCAGAGTTGCATGTGTTATGGCAACTTGGCGTCAACAGATATTTTCCAAATCTTTTAATCAAGGTGCTCACTTGATTTGATGCACTTTACAAAGTAAGGCCTGTTTATTACACTGTAGATCTTGGTTATTGGTCAGATCGTCTTGACTCGGCCGATCATTTTGTTCAAAGCAAATGCTCGTGATATGAGAGGTTGATGGTACCTCGGTGGATAAGGGGGCGGTCGGGTAGCCTCATGGTAAAAGCGTTCCCTCGTCACGCCGAAGACCTGGGTACAATTCCAGACATGGTTACAATGTGTGAAGCCCATTTCTGGTGTCCCCCGCCTGACGTGATATTTCTGGAATATTGCAATACTCACTCACTCACTCACTCACTCACTCACTCACTCACTCACTCACTCACTCACTCACTCACTCACTCACTCACTCACTCACTCACTCACTGTCATCGTATCCCAATTGCGTGGATCAATGCTCATGATGTCAATCACCAGATTGTCTGGTCCAGACTCGATTATTTACAGACTGCCATCATATAGCTTGAAAAATGATGTGTCCGGTGTTAAACAAGAATCAATCAAATAGTTTGAATATTGCTAAGTGTGTCGTTAAACAAGAAACAAACAAACCAGATCAAGATATCTTCAGGCAGCTGTGATATGTATGGAGTATGTATGACCATACTGAATGCTATTTGAAAACATTCTTTCACTGTTCATTTTGATATTTTTGTTTTTGTTGTTGACAGTATACATACGAAGATTCCATGGACATGATCGCCAAGCTACCGACCGTTGCAGCCATTATCTACAACAACCTGTACCGTGATGGTGCCACCCCTGCAGCCATTGACAACAACAAAGACTGGACAGCAAACTTTGTCAAAATGATTGGCTTTGAAGATCCAGCATTTGTGGAGCTCATGAGACTATACTTCACCATCCACAGGTCAGTCTGCAGTCACACTTTGAGGATTCCTGAACTACATTATACTTTCCAAGTGCCCATTGAGATTCTGGGGCCTCAGGAACCCATGTTTGTCATAAGAGGCGTCTAAGTGGGTCAGGTGTTCAGTCTCAGCAACTTGGTTGATGCACTGTATCCCATTTGCCTGGATGGATGCTCACGATGTCAATCACTGATATGTCTGGCCCAGAATCAATTATTTACACACTGCCATATTTCTGGAATTTTGCCGATAGCAGTGTCAAAAATTGCGTGTGCTTTGTGCCAGGATATCTCTAAAAGCCCAATTGAATACATAGTATTTGCGTTAAATATTAACCCCAGAGATTGAGTCCGGAGATAACATCTGAATAATGCTGTAAAGAAACACTGAGTGAAAGGAGACAAAACACAACCAGATGACATTATTAAACAGCTTCTTTCATGCTAAGAATCATTGTCAGTATTGCTAGTACTGGTAATACAGTTTGCTCGTGAACAAGTTTCCCCAAAATACAAGGGTCAATGAGCATACAAAGCAAATACAATAGCTAGAATTTGGCTGACTGAGCATAAAACATAGCGTAAATTGAGTGTAAATAAAATTAATTATTTGTCTCGTCTTCTTGCATGGCATGCATGTAGTACTGTTTGTTCAGTGTTTCTTGTGTTTTCAATGAGGAATCGTATCTTTCCTTCAGTGACCACGAGGGAGGTAATGTCAGCGCCCACACAACGCATCTTGTAGGCAGTGCTCTGTCGGATCCCTACCTCAGTTTTGCTGCAGGAATTAATGGCCTTGCCGGGCCCCTCCATGGCCTTGCTAATCAGGTAAAGACTGCAGATGTTGCTTTCCCATGAAGATCCGGGTTAGAATTGGTCTTAAGGAACCCATGCCTGCCATGAAAGGCAGCTAACAGGATCGGGTGGTCAGGCTCGCTGACTTGGTAGATGCATGTCATCGTATCCCAATTGTGTGGATCGATGCTCATGATGCAAATTTTTAGACCTATACTCATATCAATCACTGGATTGTCTGGTCCAGAATCGATTATTTACAGACTGACGTCATATAGCTGGAATATTGCTGAGTGCGGCATTAAACTACAGACAAACAGAGTTTGCTGTGCAGGGCGTGTGAGTGATGAGGTTTTGTACTGCTTGTCAAGCAATTCAAGATTATGGAGTGGTATTGTATTGTATATTGGTGTTTGCAGGAGGTGCTGGGCTGGGTGACCAGTTATTGTATTGTATGTGGTGTTTGCAGGAGGTGCTTGGCTGGGTGATCAGTTATTGTATTATATGTGGTGTTTGCAGGAGGTGCTTGGCTGGTCGACCAGTTATTGTATTGTATGTGGTGTTTGCAGGAGGTGCTTGGCTGGTCGACCAGTTAGTGTATTGTATGTGGTGTTTGCAGGAGGTGCTTGGTTGGGTGACCAATTATTGTATTGTATGTGGTGTTTGCAGGAGGTGCTTGGTTGGGTGACCAATTATTATATTGTATATGGTGTTTGCAGGAGGTGCTTGGTTGGGTGACCAATTATTGTATTGTGTGTGGTGTTTGCAGGAGGTGCTTGGTTGGTTGACCAATTATTGTATTGTGTGTGGTGTTTGCAGGAGGTGCTTGGTTGGGTGACCAATTATTGTATTATATGTGGTGTTTGCAGGAGGTTCTTGGTCGGGTGACCAATTATTGTATTGTATGTGGTGTTTGCAGGAGGTGCTTGGTTGGGTGACCAATTATTGTATTGTATGTGGTGTTTGCAGGAGGTGCTTAGTTGGGTGACCAATTATTGTATTATATGTGGTGTTTGCAGGAGGTTCTTGGTTGGGTGACCAATTATTGTATTGTATGTGGTGTTTGCAGGAGGTGCTTGGTTGGGTGACCAATTATTGTATTGTATGTGGTGTTTGCAGGAGGTGCTAGGTTGGGTGACCAATTATTGTATTGTATGTGGTGTTTGCAGGAGGTGCTTGGCTGGGTGACCAATTATTGTATTGTATGTGGTGTTTGCAGGAGGTGCTTGGTTGGGTGACCAATTATTGTATTGTATGTGGTGTTTGCAGGAGGTGCTTGGTTGGGTGACCAATTATTGTATTGTATGTTGTGTTTGCAGGAGGTGCTTGGTTGGGTGACCAATTATTGTATTGAATGTGGTGTTTGCAGGAGATGCTTGGTTGGGTGACCAATTATTGTATTGTATGTGGTGTTTGCAGGAGGTACTTGGTTGGGTGACCAATTATTGTATTGTATGTGGTGTTTGCAGGAGGTGCTTGGCTGGGTGACCAATAATTGTATTGTATGTGGTGTTTGCAGGAGGTTCTTGGCTGGGTGACCAATTATTGTATTGTATGTGGTGTTTGCAGGAGGTGCTTGGCTGGGTGACCAAGCTACAGGAGGAGCTTGGAGGAGAAGTGTCAGATGACCAGCTCCGCAACTTTATCTGGAACACGCTGAAGTCAGGACAGGTTGGTGATTCTAATGAAACTAAAAGCAGTCAGCATAACCCCTGGGCCTGGATCTTGGTGCTAAGATGATGGTAACTCCCATACTTTAACATAGGCTTACAAAAGTCGTAGTGCTAAGATGATCGCAACTCCCATACTTTAACATAGGCTTACAAAAGTCGTAGTGCTAAGATGATGGTAACTCCCATACTTTAACATAGGCTTACAAAAGTCGTCGTGCTAAGATGATGGTAACTCCCATACTTTAACATAGGCTTACAAAAGTCGTAGTGCTAAGATGATCGCAACTCCCATACTTTAACATAGGCTTACAAAAGTCGTAGTGCTAAGATGATGGTAACTCCCATACTTTAACATAGGCTTACAAAAGTCGTAGTGCTAAGATGATGGCAACTCCCATACTTTAACATAGGCTTACAATAGTCGTAGTGCTAAGATGATGGTAACTCCCATACTTTAACATAGGCTTACAAAAGTCATAGTGCTAAGATGATGGTAACTCCTATACTTTAACATAGGCTTACAAAAGTCGTAGTGCTAAGATGATCGCAACTCCCATACTTTAACATAGGCTTACAAAAGTCGTAGTGCTAAGATGATGGTAACTCCCATACTTTAACATAGGCTTACAAAAGTCATAGCACTTAGATCTCTTTGTAGAACGGAGCCCAGTTCCTCATACACTGTATATACAAAGTATATCAGTCCATTAACATATTGCGTCCTTGCAAATTGCTAGATGGTTGTGATAGAGATTGTACATGGGTGAGTTATGATTCAGTTGATGATAGGCACATTATGAATAAGTCTGTCTTGTCATCGCTTGATGTAGGCTTCAAGCAAGACACACATATTGAAAAGTATTGACCTTTCTTTTCACTATTGACAAAAATTGTGATCCGTCAGATAAACAGGAAAACTAATTATAGACACGTTCCGACTCCTCCTACCTAAAGGTGGCGGTGGGTTAGCCTAGTGGTTAAAGCGTTCGCTCATCATGCTGAAGACCCGGGTTCGATTCCCGACATGGGTACGATTTGTGAAGCCCATTTCTGGTGTCCCCCGCCGTGATATTGCTGGAATATTGCTAAAAGCAGTGTAAAACCATACTTACTCACGCACACACTCACTCACTCCTACTTTTAGAGTCACTCTCAATTACCATATTTTCCCCTATAGAGATTCCGGGTTAGGATAGGTCCCCAGCTACCTATGCGGGTCATACTAGGCAACCAATGTATCAGGTGGTCTGGTACTTGGTTTATTGTTGGTCATCCTACCCCGACATTTTTATGTGTCCATGATCAAAAGAGACAACACCTATACTAAGCTGCATGTAGAGATGGGGATTTCGTTACTGCTGCTACCTGCCACAGTGCTGTGCTAATGTAGACCTTCCCTTCTAGGTGGTACCTGGCTATGGCCATGCTGTGTTGAGGAAGACGGACCCCCGCTACACCTGTCAGAGAGAGTTTGCCCTCAAGCACTTGCCTAATGACCCCCTCTTCAAACTGGTGTCTCAGATCTACAAGGTTGTCCCTGACATTCTCATAGAACAAGGCAAGGCCAAGAACCCCTGGCCGAACGTGGACGCCCACAGCGGTGTTCTTCTACAGGTGAGAGCAGTTAGTCAGTGTTACGGTGTACCACCAACTCAGATGTAAGGAACTTGGCAAGGAGTATTGTCATATCAGGAAATTATCATAATTGGACTCTCGAGTGAACCAATGCTCCAAGTTGCGAGTGCATCTGTTGCATCTGCGAGTGAAATTTGGGAAATGCAACAAAACATTATTAAATACTTGTCTCTTGGCGAGTGTGGAAAAACATACACAGACCCAGCATTTGCAATAAAGTCGTTTTGTCTACCGCAGAAAAAAATTACACTAGTCCTTATAATGATAACATATAGCAAGACCCTTAAAAATTGCATTCCCTCGTCACGCTGAAGACCCGGGTTCGATTCCCCACATGGATACAATGTGTGAAGCCCAATTTGGAGTCCCCGGTATAATATTGCTGGAATATTGCTATAGGCTGCGTAAAACCATACTTACTCATTAAAAATGGCAAATTTCTACTGGTCCTTATGATACTTTAACTATTGCCATATCTATCGCTGATTGAGTTGTGTATCGTCACACCGAAGGCCGGAGATCGATTCCCCACATGGGAACAATGTGTGAAGCCCATTTCTGGCGTTCCCCCACTTTGATATTGCTGGAATATTGCTAAAAGCAGCATAAAACCATACTTATTACAAATGGTAAATTTCTACTGGTCCTTATGATACCCTAACTATTGCCAATTCTATCGCTGATTGAGTTGTGTATTTTCCTCTTCAGTACTACAAGCTGACGCAGATGAACTACTACACAGTACTGTTCGGAGTATCACGAGCGCTAGGATGCATGGCGTCACTCATCTGGGATCGGGCGCTGGGGCTTCCCATAGAGAGACCAAAGTCCTTTGACACACCAGGCCTGAAGAAATTAGTTGGAGCCAAGTGATTGATTTGGTTACTATAGGAATTTTAAAAAAGCCACGTTTTATAGGGAACCCAGAGTATCTTTTGTACATCTTTGATTTCTTCATTTGTTTGAATCGTTTTTCGAAAATAAAGTAAAAGAAAATATGTTAGTACATTGGTTTGGTTTGTTTGACACAACAAGGCAGGAGTACAACAATAGGATGAGTTCAATTTCACATGACATTTTGCAAAGCATACTTATTAGACCTTAGGCATTCATGGTAGATTTTTGTATATATGCTTTACTGTACTGACATTTTACTCTGGTAGGAAATTTGAGAATCAGAGAGAAATGTTAGCAAGAAATAGCACATGCTTCATACATCGGTGGATATTTTTGAACAAGCAAAACCAATGGTGCAAAGTTTCAGTCATCACATTGATTATGGTTGTTATGCAGATACATTTGTATATATTGTTTAACAGTTACCATGGTAACAGTTTTCGTCGTACCATTTCAGTGATGGGCACTTTCTTCAGTCATTGGGAAATGTCTGATTGAATGACAGAACTTTCATAAAAATGGAGATCAACTCGCAATTTATTAAACCTACTTTACCGTCAATGTCACATTTTTGACAATCCCTTGAAATAAACTTATGATGTCTCACTCAACACCAATGTCTGCCTTTGTTTATACAGAGAAATCTGTAAGAATATTTTGTGGATAGCCATCTTGAAAATTGTATTAATGATAATAGAATTTCTGCCCAATGTTCCACATGGAGTTGTCTCCCTTTAAAACTTGTTTTGTTTGTTGCTTTTGTGTGAGAGAGTGATTGTTAGAGGTGATTATTCTGTTTTTCTTCAGTGGGATGTATGTTCAAGTACAATCAAAACTGAGGAACCCAGGCATCGTATGTGCTATGTGTTGATGACTGAGAGTTTGCACAAGAGATCCTTGTACTAAGGACCTTATGTAGCATTGGTGCTGATCTGTACGGATATTCTACAGTTAAACACTGTCGACCCTGGTTGGTTATTCAAATTAAGACACCTTTGAGATAGTTGCATTTTACCTACAATGTCTGTGCGTGGAATTGTATTAATAAAATTATGTTGTACATATTATCTGTCATTATGAACATAACAATCAAATGTTATTCGATTTAATTGTACCTCATGAACAAATTTATTTTAGTGTTTCCATTGTATTTCTACCCATACATATCAGCTGGGAAGGTTGTTGACGAAGCTTTATGCCACTATTGTGCCAGTTTATAGTATCCGTAGCTCTGATATTATTTAGGCCACTATGGTGATAGGATCTATTTAAACATGTTATTTTGTGTCTGTCCTGTTGTCAATAATACACAAGAACATTATGCTTACTGTAGTGGAGTACCTATAAAGGGTGTCTTGATTTGAAGGATCTTGTTTGGGTGACCGGTTGTCAGTAATTCATGTATCTGGAACCTGTAATTGTTTTCAGTGAGATTCATTTTGATGATCACTGGACAATTACATGTGTCATTTAAAGAATTAAAACAAAGTTAAGTGTTATTTGTGTCGTTATTGTTTTTGCTCCCTGAATAGCACCAGAATGATTAATATTCTCCCCAAAACGAGGTGAATGTGGTCTACAGTAGGGTTGGTTCCCTCAGATGTACCATTTTCGTAATCACACTGATTATGTACATTAGTTTGTCCGCTCCATACACAGGCCCTTGGGTCTTTGATTAATTATTAGATCTATTAATATCACAAGAGTCATCAATGCACTATCATGTCATCTTCCTGAGGCAAGGGTGTTAACTGTCTATGTTAGTCCAGTTTCCACCCTTGCCGAACTGGGCAGGAATTTCTGGGCTTGTAGCGCTACCAGTGGCTATTACGAGTTATGTCCCTTCTGTGTCCCACCTATAGACCAATCTGATTACACTTCTCATATCACTTGCATTTCCTTCAAACAAATTGGCGGCGCCCAGTCAAGACGATCTGATTGATAATCAAGATCTATATTTTGATAAGACGGGTCTCACTTCGCGAAGTGCATAAAATCAGTAGAGCACCTCGATTAAAAACTAGAAAATATATGTTGAGGACGAGTTAGGTGTATACTTTGCAAATCATGCAGTCGTCTGAAAGCTGCATGGCAGTTTACGAACCGGATGTCGATTTTGTTACTTGATTTTGATTGGATTATGCATATACTCGTTATTCCAGCCAAAATATTACTCAATATTTGCAGCCTAGTTCGGCAAGGGTGGAAATTGGGCTTTATAGTCAGTTAACTCCCTTGCTTCGGGAGGATGTATCCTGTGGACACAAAATGTTCATACAGACAAGTGACCAATCAAATAACATGTTGTCTATGACAATAATTATATCCTAATTTAAGTTGAACTTTGCAACTGAAATCGTCACACAATTTACAGCCAACAATTTACAGGGCTTGTCATATAAAACTTGTCTTGGACACTTGTTGCATAAAGCCGAACTCCAGATGTTCCCAGGATAAAAATTATGACAATCTGAAAGTTGACACATTATGATTTCTGACATTTGTCCCGGTACATACATGACGTCTAGAAATTGACGTCACCACTCTGTGGGCTCCTGGCCACAGAAATGTACGATTATTGCAAAACATCGGAGGAGGCTGCCACCCTCTTGGTCTCTCCCTGCGGCGTTTTATTGTATGATAACCCACCCCCTCGTCGTTTAGTTTCTAAGTAAGCAGTGTCCTGTGTGTAAAATGTATAGTTAACCAACCTTCAGTGGCAGTGATTAGTGATGTCATTTGATTGTGACGTCACAATGGTCTGCAAAACGAGAAACATGATATTTCACTCGACACATGGTATATCCTATTTATAATATATATTTTGTGTAGTTGTCTCCCGGAAAATGAAATTATTTCATTACAAATGTTAAAACCGTAAAACGTAAATTCCCCCTACCTATCACCCAGGGACGGTTCACCACACCTTGTATTTGCGACTAAAAAAGTAGTTTCATGTTTGCAAAATCTTTAAAAAATATAAACAAAAGTAGCAAAGATATTTAAGGTCACGAATTCTGTATCATACATAGATATGATTATATACAAAATCAACTTTAACAAACAATATTTTTGAAAACTACGAGACCGCTGTTGGAAGCGAGAGAACACGCTGGTTAAGTAACAAACGTGGAGTCTCGATTGACGAGTTCATTGCATATTTACAGTTTTTAACGAAACATTTTCTAGAGAATAACAAACGGCATGAAGCCATATTAACTCCATAAATGACCATCTGTCATTTGCCTTTCAATGTGGAACGTAAAAAGGAAGTGAACAGTTTGTGTACGGACCAGACACTTACGATAAAGCGAGAATATTTGATGGGAGGTAACTCTTGTATGACAATTGTTCCGTCAAAGTATTATGTTCACAGCTGTGAAATATCAAGTGTTATGTTCACTGCAATGAAAATATCACTTTTCTCAACTTCTGAAAACTCAGTCTTTCACACAGAAGTATATAATAGATATCCCCTTTATCTCTCCCAAGGAAGATCTCTTGTGAAAGCCAGTTTGGGATAAAAAAAAGAGAGAGTAATGAAACGCGTGTAAAAGAAGATTATGAAGCTGTCTTAGCGCTAAGGTATCTTAAGTTGACGACAGGTCTGACCTGTCGTAGGAGCTTACAGCAGGCAAGGGGGCGGTCGGGTAGCCTAGTGGTTAAAGCGTTCGCTCGTCACGCCGAAGACCCGGGTTCGATTCCCGACATGGGTACAATGTGTGAAGCCCATTTCTGGTGTCCCCCGCCGTGATATTGCGGGAATATTGCTACAAGCGGCGTAAAACCATACTCACTCACTCACTACAACAGGCAAGCTGGCTGACAACAGACGGTATACTGTAGAAAACATTAGGCAGACTGTGTGAGTGATTTCCGCTTTCACTTTAGAAAAAACAACTAACAACGTACAGGTCCTAGAATACACACACAGACATCATATTTACCTATTATGAATGTTATGAATATGTTTTTCTATATGTGGGCGCACCGTTACTATGCACGTATTCCTTGTCCTGGTAGATATGTTACCTTTTGCCGGTTGTTAGATCCTGCATAGTGACAGGTTAATACAGGAGATAATTAACAAGATATGTCACAAGGAAGTCCTCAACGTAACAAAGAAACATTCATTGATGCAGGATATTTGCAAGTGCTATGTATAATATTTTCAAGTTTCAAGGATGTTTTTTTTAACCTCGCGAACGTACTGAAATATTTGTTTCGACGTTTTATATTTAGGTGCTCTGAAGATGAACAAATAAAATCGGTATCGCCATAAATACTATACACAAAGGAAAAGATAAGCACCCTCTGTATATTTTACAAGGACTTGCCATTGGACGAGCGGTGGCATGAAACCCTGTTATCACAACTTCGGAAAAACGAGTGTGAGTGAGTTGGGTTTAACGCCGCTTTCAACATTCCAGTTATATCCCGGCGTGTCAGCTTAATGTGGGAGGAAAGCCCGAAGTGATGCAGGTCTCAGACGTTTACCACTTCGGTGAAACCTACGAGCACGGGTATGGTGCTGACAAACCTAGAAACATAATCGGGGCGAACCGGGATTCGAACCCACAATCATAGGTTTCTGGCGTGCCCAAGGGACGCAACTCTGCACAGCGAATCGCGGCGCCTTAGACAACTGATCCACCCGTGCCCCCTCGGAAAAACGAATGTGATTGCAAGAAGACACCTCTGACAATAAGAAAACAAAAAGTTTATCCTATTTTGAGATTTGATAATGATTCTAACAAATTCTAACTCAGAGGCACTGTATTTGCGCAAAAACCAACAAACAAAAAAAACAACAACAAAAAACGGTAGCCCCAATAAGAATGAAAGTACAGAGTCAGGAACACTTCACATCATGATTGATGATGAAAAATGTCCTTTTCAGTCCAAAGATGAGATAAATGACACAAATCATCAATAGCGGGTAAACCCGCCACGTGCCCGGATGGCAGATTCCAGCCTTCATTTCATCCCTCCAGTAAGTCGTCTGATGTGCTGAATGGGCAACTGCAGCCATTCTCGATGGAGAGCTGCCCCAATTGGGCCAGAGTTTGTACCGGATGGCCCAGGACGTGTACTCGGCGCCCCAGGAGGACCCACATATTCTCCAGTGGGTTCACGACGTATACTCGACGCCTCAAGAGGTCCCACATATGCGCCAGTGGGTTCAGGACGTGTACTCGACGCCCCAAGAGGTCCCACATATGCTCCAGTGGGTTCAGGACGTGTACTCGACGCCCCAAGAAGACCCACATATGCTCCAGTGGGTTCAGGACGTGTACTCGACGCCCCAAGAGGACCCACATATGCTCCAGTGGGTTCAGGACGTGAACTCGACGCCCCAAGAAGTCCCACAATATGCTCCAGTGGGTTCAGGACGTATACTCGACGCCCCAAGAGGACCCACATATGCTCCAGTGGGTTCAGGACGTGTACTCGGCGCCCCAAGAGGACCCACATATGCTCCAGTGGGTTCAGGACGTGTACTCGACGCCCCAAGAAGACCCACATATGCTCCAGTGGGTTCAGGACGTGTACTCGACGCCCCAAGAGGACCCACATATGCCCCAGTGGGTTCAGGACGTGTACTCGGCGCCCCAAGAGGACCCACATATGCTCCAGTGGGTTCAGGACGTGTACTCGACGCCCCAAGAGGACCCATATATGCTCCAGTGGGTTCAGGACGTGTACTCGTCGCCTCAAGAGGACCCACACATGCTTCAGTGGGTTCAGGACGTGTACTCGGCGCCCCAAGAGGACCCACATATGCTCCAGTGGGTTCAGGACGTGTACTCGACGCCCCAAGAGGACCCATATATGCTCCAGTGGGTTCATGACGTGTACTCGTCGCCTCAAGAGGACCAACACATGCTTCAGTGGGTCCAGGACGTGTACTCGACGCCCCAAGAGGACCCACATATGCTCCAGTGGGTTCAGGACGTGTACTCGACGCCCCAAGAGGACCCACATATGCTCCAGTGGGTTCATGACGTGGACTCGACGCCCCAAGAGGACCCTCATATGCTCCAGTGGGTTCAGGACGTGTACTCGACGCCCCAAGAAGACCCACATATGCTCCAGCGGGTTCAGGACGTGTACTCGACGCCCCAAGAAGACCCACATATGCTCCAGTGGGTTCAGGACGTGTACTCGACGCCCCAAGAAGACCCACATATGCTCCAGCGGGTTCAGGACGTGTACTCGACGCCCCAAGAGGACTCACATATGCTCCAGTGGGTTCATGACGTGTACTCGGCGCCCCAAGAGGACCCACATATGCTCCAGTGGGTTCAGGACGTGTACTCGACGCCCCAAGAGGACCCACATATGCTCCAGCGGGTTCATGACGTGTACTCGACGCCCCAAGAGGACCCACATATGCTCCAGTGGGTTCAGGTCAGGTCTCATGGAAGGCCGCGGCAGTGTCGCCACAGCGTCATTCTGGAGAAAAGCTGTTACTGCTGGGGAACGATGTGGCTTCGCATTGTCATCCATGTACACAGAGGCACAACTGGTTTCAGGACGTTACGAATGTACCGAGCTCCACCGAGGTAGCCTTGGATGGTGACAAGAACCAGTTTTTTTTCAGAACATGACATGCTCGAAAGTTTCACCAAACTTGTAAACGTCTAACACCTTCATCACTTTTGACTTTCATCACACATCAAGCTGGCAAACACCGCGGTGTAACTGAAAGGCTGATTAGAGTAGCGTTGAACCCAACTCATAAAGATGAAATCTCAATCTCATTAAAATCAGATCTTAGTTCTCGCTACCGCTAACAAAGATCTGAGGACATCCCATTACGGGTCACGTCAGACCGACCTTATGGGAACACCGACCGACCAATGGAATGACCAATCAGAAGGCAGCTTTCTCGTGCTCTACTGTACCAATTTCAAATTGGCGACTACGCTTCGAAACATATTTTGACAAATTCACGATTAAAAATTTGAAACCTGTACAAAAGAACATTCTGGAAAGGCTGATAGATGGTCTAGATTGGATGGATTCAGTCCTTAAACCCTTAACTATCGTTCGGAGTTAAAGTTTTCGAGGTTGCGTGAAAAGAAATCACATTCCGACTGTCACTTTCATAATCTGGTAAGCGATGCTCTGATTGGTCGGATGAAAGGTCGTTCTGACGTGACCCGTAATGGGATGTCCTTAGATCTTTGTTTAGCGGTAGCGAGAACTAAGATCTGATTTTAATGAGATTGATGACATCTCTGATGAAATTTTGCTGGAATATTGCTAAAAGCGGCGTAAAACAATACTCACCCAATCTCTAGAATCATACGAATAACAATGTTGACGTTTATGCGTTTATGGCCATTTAGTGTTAGTGCTTCGTGGTTTTTTTAATTGCGCATTTACCATTGAAAACTCATGTAGCCGCTCTGCAAAGCACGTGACCCTAGAGACGACACGGGCAGATCAGTGGTGTAAGGCGCCGCAAGTAGCTGTGGGTTCCAGATGACACTGATTATGATCCTTGAATTGTCAACACCGTATCAATGATGTAGCTTCCACAGAAGACCTGCATCACTTCGGGATTTGCTCCCACATTAAGCAGACATGCCGTGGTGTAACTGGAACAATGTCAAAGGTGCCGTCAAACCATACTCACCTAAAGTATCCTTACGTGGCGGTCTTTCATTTGACAAGAGTAGTCTTATAGTGTACGTTGTCATAGATATAGCAACTCCAGTATACAATTGCTATTAAAATCACGTTTTATTTATATAACATTGATTCTTCTATCCTGTATTGTGATAGCGGCAACCTCGTTGAAGACTTAATGAATAATGTTTTTCACAACATTTGTGTGACGTTTACTGATGGTTTATAGTTGATAGGGTGTGAACGTTTACTGTCAAATGTTATCTCATATACTATATGTTTATTTCATTAAGTACAGGTGTACATCTGAACCACGGTAGACTTCCCTTATTCACGCCAGGATCCGCTGTTCCGCTTATTCCGTCCTCGAGGGTTTCAGCATGGTGATCAACGCCTACATGCCTCAATGTCGACTTTTTACGCAAACCCTTAAAAATATAACTTATGTTGTTAATTAATCTTCAAGTACACATGGCACGGAAAGTGTAACAGGATTTATTTGACATGACGTCGTACAACCATACCAGGAGCTACAAGTCCCGCGAGACGGTGACCAAAATCCGGGTGATGAAGAGGAGCGAGCCGGGATGTCCTTTCCTCGCGGGGGAGGGGAGGGGAGTGTCATATGCAAATTGGCTGTTTCAAGATCCAGTCGTCACCCCGCTTTGTATATATAACGTAAAATCTCAACTTTTAATCACTCCTTCCTTTAAATTGTTGATGGTACAGCTGGAGGTGAAAGTCAAATCATGGGTCTCAAAGGTAGGCAACCAAGAACTCTCATGAAATTATGCCTGTTCGTTACACGTTGTAACATTTGAGAACCTTTTTGTTGGTGGAGTATTAATTGTAAAATGTGGATTTAAAGCTGTTTTTTTAAACTAGGAAACTAACCCTGAAATCGTTTTTCCACGGTACAGTAAACTACAGTAAACTTTTAGTTCGTTATAACCGTAATTCGTTATAAGCATATATGCAGCATAACTACAGCAAATAGTCGGGACTAAAAACGTTAGTTCGTTACATCCGTCAGTTCGTTATAAGCGTGTTCGTTATAACCGTAGTTTACTGTACATCTTTTATATGGCAAATTTTCGTTTTCCTTTGGATAGGATTTAGAGAATAACCAACGAGGAATTACTCATTATCTGTCTTGTGAATAAATGGTGTTAATGCCGGGCCTTTGGTGAAGGACTTGCAGCATTCATTCACTGGGGACAGATAATCTGTAATTCCGAGTTTCGAGTAGGTTACTCATTTAAGAGAGAAAATGAAGAAAAAACATGTCACGCAACCCTACAGAGAAACCTGATTGAAGTTGAATATCCAGAACTTGGTTTAAAAAATGACATCAGTACAAAATAACATGAACATTCGATGTGGGATAAATGTTAATTATTTGTGTTCATGAATTGTTTGATAGGCATTTCTTAGAAGTTGACGGATGACAAAGTAGACACAATTTATGGATAAAAACGTCTTTATATTTTCTGTACGTAATGTCGACGTTTCGGTATAGATCCTTAAGCAACGGTATAAGGTTTTCCCCCCGAGCGTCGCTCATACAGTGAAATATAGAAGTTGTTATCCATAACTTGTATCTACTTTCTTATGTTAATGTCTATATAAAAAAAAATATCCATAATAAAATATGGATTGTCAAGTTAAAGTACTGCTGAAATCCAGGTTGTGTATTGCTATGTTCCCTATATTTACCTTCTTGTGAGGCGACCATGCTGGTCGTAAGAGGCGACTAACGGGATCGGGTGGTCAGACTGGCTGACTTGGTTGGTGCATGTCATCGTATCCCAATTGCGTGAATCGGTGCTCATGATGTCAATCACTGGATTGTCTGGTCAAGACTGGATTATTTACAGACCGCCGTCACATAGCTGGAATATTGCTGAGTGCGGCGTTAAACAACAAATAAACAAATAAACAAACAAACAAACCTACTTGTGTCACATAAAGTAGTGATGAAAGTCCGTTTAAATAGGCAATCAAACATGTGCACGGGGTTGTCCAACGTCTTATACGAAATCGTAAGCCGAATACATGTCGCGTTCCGGTGTTCCAGGCCATGTGTTCACAGTGAATACAGGTTTGGAACATGCAATAGGTTGTATCTGGAGAAGCTGCTGCCATCCACTAAAGACATGCTTTCTTGTTCTCGTACATAAAACCAGGCCTTCCAGCGTCAACATAGAAGTGGTATAAAACCTTAAAGGGGAAGTGTACACGCAAAAATCACTTTCTTTCTTTTTCTAAACAAAACGCAATTTTAGAATTAATTAGTATCTGTGTTTGAAAATATACACTCATTTTTTTCACAGTGAAAGTAGGAAGCTCACAATAGTGTGAAAATGATATGCCGTTATGAGGCCTTCGTTTTTCGAGCTAAACAGGCCTGAGTTATCCCCCTTAGATTATGACGTAATTGGTGCCAATTCAACTGGGTCCCTGTCTATTCTCAACGCAAAAGATATCAAGTACCAGTTTGCGGTAAAACAACATGGTCTACGACACACTCCGACGCAGTGGTGACTCAGCATAACACTATGCTGGCTGGCATCTGAGACGCTAGAATCACACATCTAGACCTACACCACGTGAAGCGGCTCTAACAAAGCATGATGACGTCATAATGTTTATCAATTGGCACCAATGACGTCATATTGCAAGGGGCATAAGCCATTGTGTTTTTGTTGTGGAAATAGAACACTTGGTAAATGTGAAAAATATAAATCGTTTTAATGCGAAAAATATGTTAATTAATTGTGATATTTTTATATTTTTGTCTATGACACTTCTAGGTTAACACTTTTAATGTGGAAAAAGTACAAGAAAAATAGGTTAATTTCCGTGTGAACTTGCCCTTTAAGAAGGACCGCAACGGTCATTGACCTCCAAGGAAGGCATTCGCTGCTGTTGAACAAAAAACCTGTTTTAACGAAGTATCAAACCAGCACAGGCAGCAAATATTTAGACTGCAAAAGACGACACCACAGTGTAGGCTTAGGGACATATAGATATAGGACCCTATGCTTATGTATAATTGAGTGTGTTGAGTGAGTTGGGATTTATTCTGCACTAGGGGAAGGACAGACATTGACTCACTTTTGGTACGTACCCTTGGGGGTCACCGCATAGGGCTGATGTTGAGTGATGCCCCTATTTGTCACCTTACCCACAAGCTTCGCGTCTCGTAGACCTCTGGGCGCTCAAGACAAAGGTCGTATTAAGAAACACGAATTAGAAAGTCTGTGGGAACAAGCGTTTGTTCTGCGCGGGTGTGGAATGCTGGCGTGAGTGAGTATGATTATACGCCGCTTTTAGCAATATTCCAGCAATACCACAGCGGGGGACATCTGAAATGGGCTTCACACATTCACCTTTGTGGGGAATCGAACCTGGGTCTTTGGCGTGTCGAGGGAACGCTTTACCCGCTGGGCTACCCGCTCCTGGAACGCTGGATCTTTGAAGCTCTAGAACTCAAAATTATCTGTAACCCGTAGCTACCGAAGATAACACATCTATGTAATGGTCATACAAGTGACTGAACGCATGAGCAATGATCCATGCTATCGGGTACAATCCACGCAATAAGCCACCCGATCCCCATTTTGTTTGGCTTTCACGGATGTCCTTGTGACGTATTCTTGTGACGTATTCTGCACGGATAAGAAACTGTAACATAATTTATCCCAAACACGTTTTGTCTAAATTCCAAGTGATGGAGGCTGAGGTTGAAGTTTGAACTACGCAAAGAACCTGTTACAAGCCTGGTTTAACTCGGAGATGTTTACATAGAACAAGTGGGATCGGCAGCTGAAAAAAGAAAGTCAGCTTGTTATGCTACAAATGTCCATTGAAAACATGATTGATCAGCTCTTAAAATGTGGCTTGTTGACATAAATAGAAACAAACCTGCACGAAACGTGTCCACTTTCTGTTCATGAGATCCAAGGTCTGTCTTGTTATTGATGACTTCCAAATGCTGCTTGATGGCAAGTAACATCCAGATGCAACCAACGTCTGCATCTAAACGACACAACGGATTTAATAATGAAGCTGCCATCCATACAAACTTCGTCAATACTTCACGTTCTCGTCTCTTTGATGTAAGAAGCATGATGGTGACATGATGGAGTAGCCTTGTGTATACTAGACCGTGAAGTAATGACGTGATGGGGAGCCTTGTGTATACAAGACCATGAAGTATTGATGTCATGGAGAAACCTTGTGTAATACACGACTGTAAAGTATTGTCGTGATGGAGGAACCTAAAGTATACAAAACCGTAAAGTATTGACGTGATTGAGGAACCTAGTGTTTACACGATTGTAAAGTATTGACGTGATGGAGGAACCTTGTCTATACGAGGCCGTGAAGTATTGACGTGATGCAGGAACCTAGTGTATACAAGACAATGGAGTATTGACGTGATGCAGGAACCTAGTGTATACAAGGCCATGAAGTATTGACGTGATGGAGGAACCTAGTGTATACACGACTGTGAAGTATTGACGTCATAGAGGAACCTAGTGTATACACGACTGTAAAGTATTGACGTGAAGGAGGAACCTAGTGTATACACGACTGTATAGTATTGACGTGATGGAGGAACCTAGTGTATACACGACTGTAAAGTATTGACGTGACGGAGGAACCTAGTGTATACACGACTGTATAGTATTGACGTGATGGAGGAACCTAGTGTATACACGACTGTAAAGTATTGACGTGACGGAGGAACCTAGTGTATAAAAGGCCATGGAGTATTGACGTGATGGAGGAACCTAGTGTATACAAGGCCATTGAGTATTGACGTGATGGAGGAACCTAGTGTATACAAGGCCATGGAGTATTGACGTGATGGAGGCACCTAGTGTATACAAGACTGTAAAGTATTGACGTGACGGAGGAACCTAGTGTATAAAAGGCCATGTAGTATTGACGTGATGGAGGAACCTAGTGTATACAAGGCCATGGAGTATTGACGTGATGGAGGCACCTAGTGTATACAAGACTGTAAAGTATTGACGTGACGGAGGAACCTAGTGTATAAAAGGCCATGTAGTATTGACGTGATGGAGGAACCTAGTGTATACAAGGCCATGGAGTATTGACGTGATGGAGGCACCTAGTGTATACAAGACTGTAAATTATTGACGTGATGCAGGAACCTAGTGTATACAAGGCCATGAAGTATTGACGTGATAGAGGGACCTAGTGTGTACACGACTGTATAGTATTGACGAGATTGAGGAACCTAGTGTATACAAGGCCATGGAGTATTGACGTGATGGAGGCACCTAGTGTATACAAGACTGTAAAGTATTGACGTGAAGGAGGAACCTAGTGTATAAAAGGCCATGGAGTATTGACGTGATGGAGGAACCTAGTGTATACAAGGCCATTGAGTATTGACGTGATGGAGGCACCTAGTGTATACAAGACCGTAAAGTATTGACGTGATGCAGGAACCTAGTGTATACAAGGCCATGAAGTATTGACGTGATGGAGGAGCCTAGTGTATACACGACTGTGAAGTATTGACGTCATAGAGGAACCTAGTGTATACACGACTGTAAAGTATTGACGTGAAGGAGGAACCTAGTGTATACACGACTGTAAAGTATTGACGTGATGGAGGAACCTAGTGTTTACAAGACCGTAAAGTATGGACGTGATGGAGGAACCTAGTGTATAAAAGGCCATGGAGTATTGACGTGATGGAGGCACCTAGTGTATACAAGACTGTAAAGTATTGACGTGATGGAGGAACCTAGTGTATAAACGACTGTAAAGTATTGACGTGATGGAGGAACCTAGTGTATACACGACTGTATAGTATTGACGAGATTGAGGAACCTAGTGTATACAAGGCCATGGAGTATTGACGTGATGGAGGCACCTAGTGTATACAAGACCGTAAAGTATTGACGTGATGGAGGAACCTAGTGTATAAACGACTGTAAAGTATTGACGTGATGGAGGAACCTAGTGTATATACGACTGTATAGTATTGACGTGATGGAGGAACCTAGTGTATACACGACTGTAAAGTATTGACGTGATGGAGGCACCTTGTGTATAGAAATACACAAGGCCGTAAAGTATTGACGTGACGGAGGAACCCAGTGTATACACGACTGTATAGTATTGACGTGATGGAGGAACCTAGTGTATACAAGGCGGTGAAGTATATTGACGTGATGCAGGAACCTAGTGTATACACGACTGTAAAGTATTGACGAGATGGCGGAACCTAGTGTATACAAGGCCATTGAGTATTGACGTGATGGAGGCACCTAGTGTATACAAGGCCATGGAGTATTGACGTGATGGAGGAACCCAGTGTATACAAGACCGTCAAGTATTGACGAGATGGAGGAACCTAATGTATACAAGACCGTGCAGTGTTGACCTAGAGTAAACAAGAATGTGAAGTATTGACGTGATAGAGAAACCTAGAGTAAACAAAACCGGGAAGTACTGACGAGAAGGAGAAACCTAGAGTAAACAAGACCAGGAAGTATTGACGAGAGGGAGGAACCTAGAGTAAACAAGACCGGGAAGTATTGACGAGAAGGAGAAACCTAGAGTAAACGAGACCGGGAAGTATTGACGAGAAGGAGGAACCTAGAGTATACAAAACCAGGAAGTATTGACGAGAAGGGGGAACCTAGAGTAAACAAGACCGTCAAGTATTGACGTTATAAAGAAACCTAGAGTAAACAAGACCGTGAAGTATTGACGTGATAGAGAAACCTAGAGTAAAGAAGACTGTGAAGTATTGACGAGATGGAGGCACCTAGAGTAAACAAGACCGTGAAGTATTGACGTTATAAAGAAACCTAGAGTAAACAAGACCGTGAAGTATTGACGTGATAGAGAAACCTAGAGTAAAGAAGACTGTGAAGTATTGACGAGATGGAGGCACCTAGAGTAAACAAGACCGTGAAGTATTGACGAGATGGAGGAACCTAGAGTATAAAAGACTGTGAAGTATTGACGTTATAGAGAAACCTAGAGTAAACAAGACTGTGAAGTATTGACGTGATGGAGGAACCTAGAGTAAACAAGACCGTGAAGTATTGACGTTATAGAGAAACCTAGAGTAAACAAGACCGTGAAATATTGACGTGATAGAGAAACCTAGAGTAAAGAAGACTGTGAAGTATTGACGAGATGGAGGAACCTAGAGTAAACAAGACCGTCAAGTATTGACGAGAGGGAGGAACCTAGAGTAAACAAGACCGGGAAGTATTGACGAGAAGGAGAAACCTAGAGTAAACAAGACCGGGAAGTATTGACGAGAAGGAGGAACCTAGAGTAAACAAGACTGTGAAGTATTGACGTGATAGAGGAACCTAGAGTAAACAAGACCGGGAAGTATTGACGAGAAGGAGGAACCTAGAGTATACAAAACCAGGAAGTATTGACGAGAAGGAGGAACCTAGAGTATACAAAACCAGGAAGTATTGACGTGATAGAGGAACCTAGAGTAAACAAGACCGGGAAGTATTGACGTGATAGAGGCATCCAACCTTGGGGGCGCTAGAATCCTGTGATCGAGGGTTCAGATCACGGTTCGCATATTTTGTTTCTAGATTTATTAGCACCTCACCCATGCTCGAGGATTTTACCTTGGCCGTAAACGTCTGAGACCTCCATCAATTCCGATTTTCCTCGCACAAACATCTGACGCACCATGATATAACTGAAATAATGTTCGGAATTATATGCAACTCATTTGAAAAGACCAATCACGCAAAGAAAATTCCTTATACCAATTTGACAGTATGATAATAAGGATCCTTCATTTTTCAGAAACGACACCTGACGCAGAACAAGGGCCTGTCGACAGCACCAACCAGGAATCCTTCTGTGAGAAGTACACATCTTGTCGATGGGTCGTTGGTTACTTGTGTTGTTTAGTCCGACTCACTCAAACAACGCTACGACAATGCATAGGCATGGCGATTGTGGTCATGGCTATGCCCACCAGAGGACCGGATGTGACGTCAAGTTCGCCCGTCGTAGAGAATAATACGTTGTCTGACCATGTTTTCAGCGTGAGGAATGTTGATTTATTTATATAGGTGTTTTATAGTGTGTTGGATTTTACAAAGATAGAGATACGTAGAGAGAGAATTTGTTATGAATACACCTGAAATAGAGCAACCTGTGTAAGCATAAGCACAGACGCGTATGAGGTCGAATTTCTGTTCGCCCCAAGACTCTTTCTAGGTTTGTCAGCACATTACCCGTGCTCGTAGGTTTCACCAAAGTGGTAAACGTCTGAGATTTGCATCTCTTAGGGTTTTCTCCTGACACGCCTTGATATAACTGGAATACTGTTTAAAGCGGCGTTAAACCCAACTCACTCACACACTCACTGAGAAATCGTTACCAACCGATCCCCAGTGTAGCCGACTCAATCATGAGGCATTAGAGATGTGTTTTGCCCTTGTTCCTTCGACTGAATTAAGTCATTATTATGGAATAAAACTTACGCCCAAGTGTGAAATATTGCAACCTTATCATCGGTAAGGTAGGGCTTAAATCTTATACAGTACACAAAGGACAAATATAATGAGTGAGTGAGTCTTATTTTACGCCGCAGTATTTAAGAAATATCAACCATACTCATTGTGCGTCCGCGGATTTAATTACCTACAAGACTATCCTATCAGTAGGATCAAATTGAACTGATATTTATGATAATATTTAACATGATTTAGTCATTATCATTTTCCAGACCTCAGAATTCACATGGACCTCGGAATTCGAGGGTTTGATTCTATCGGCCTACACATTTGGTTTCCTAGCATCACCGATCATTGGTGGGTATGTTGCTGGGAAATATGGCGGGAAGATTGTCATAACGGTCTCCCTCGTCGTTGGTTCAATAGTTACCATAGCAACTCCAGTAGCAGCACGGGCATGTCCCATATCTATGGTGGTTCTTCGGGCTGTCGTCGGACTCTTTTTGGTAAATTCGATTTATGATTTTTATATTTCTTTTTTATCAAGTCTATTTTTCACAATGAAATTCTAAACAAATTAATATTTATAATTGTGTTATGTCTTTTCTTGTCATAATTTCTGATACATTTCGAGGTTATTAGTAAATAGAGAGATAATACTCTGAATAAACGAGGATGTAGGTCGTCAAGTTCAAAACATTGGCATGCAGCTCAATTCATTAATACGAAAGCATTCACTAATACACAAGCCTTGCAGCATCCCCTTATCCCTCAACCTGTTTCCAGGGGGGCGTAGATCCGGCCATCCAATCTCTGTGGTCAAAGTGGGCACCAAAAGACGAGAAGGCATCCCTTACGACATGTGCCTACTCCGGTATGTGAGAACTCAATATGAGCTTGCTCTGGAATGGTATAACTCAATATGAGCTTGCGCTGGAATGGTATAACTCAAATATGTGCTTGCTCAGGTATTTGATAACTCAAATATATGATTGCTCTAGTATGCGATAACTCAAATATGTGCTTGCACTGGTATATGATAAAACTGATACATGCTTCCTCCAGTATAAGTATGCGATAACTCAAATATATGCTTGCTCCGGTATGCGATAAATCTCATATATGCTTGCTCTGGTATATGATAAAACTGATATATGCTTTCTCCGGTACGTGAAAACCTCTTTTACGTGCCCACTTTAATATGGGATAACTCTTTTATGTGCCTACTTCAGTATGTAATAACTCTTTTATGTGCCCACTTCAATATGGGATAACTCTTTTATGTGCCTACTTGAATATGGGATAACTCTTTTTTTGTGTCTTCGTCGGTTTGTGATAACTCTTTTATGTGCCTACTTCAGTATGTAATAACTCTTTTAGGTGCCTACTTCAGTATGTAATAACTCTTTTAGGTGCCTACTTCAGTATGTAATAACTCTTTTATGTGCCTTCGTCGATATGTGATGACTCTTTTATGTGCCTACTTCAGTATGTAATAACTCTTTTATGTGCCCACTTCAATATGGGATAACTCTTTTATGTGCCTACTTCAGTATGTAATAACTCTTTTATGTGCCCACTTCAATATGGGATAACTCTTTTATGTGCCTACTTCAGTATGTAATAACTCTTTTATATGCCCACTTCAATATGGGATAACTCTTTTATGTGCCTACTTCAGTATGTAATAACTCTTTTATGTGCCCACTTCAATATGGGATAACTCTTTTATGTGCCTACTTGAATATGGGATAACTCTTTTTTTGTGTCTTCGTCGGTTTGTGATAACTCTTTTATGTGCCTACTTCAGTATGTAATAACTCTTTTAGGTGCCTACTTCAGTATGTAATAACTCTTTTAGGTGCCTACTTCAGTATGTAATAACTCTTTTATGTGCCTTCGTCGATATGTGATGACTCTTTTATGTGCCTACTTCAGTATGTAATAACTCTTTTATGTGCCCACTTCAATATGGGATAACTCTTTTATGTGCCTACTTCAGTATGTAATAACTCTTTTATATGCCCACTTCAATATGGGATAACTCTTTTATGTGCCTACTTCAGTATGTAATAACTCTTTTATGTGCCCACTTCAATATGGGATAACTCTTTTATGTGCCTACTTCAGTATGTAATAACTCTTTTATGTGCCCACTTCAATATGGGATAACTCTTTTATGTGCCTACTTCAGTATGTAATAACTCTTTTATATGCCCACTTCAATATGGGATAACTCTTTTATGTGCCTACTTGAATATGGGATAACTCTTTTTTTGTGTCTTCGTCGGTTTGTGATAACTCTTTTATGTGCCTACTTCAGTATGTAATAACTCTTTTAGGTGCCTACTTCAGTATGTAATAACTCTTTTAGGTGCCTACTTCAGTATGTAATAACTCTTTTATGTGCCTTCGTCGATATGTGATGACTCTTTTATGTGCCTACTTCAGTATGTAATAACTCTTTTATGTGCCCACTTCAATATGGGATAACTCTTTTATGTGCCTACTTCAGTATGTAATAACTCTTTTATATGCCCACTTCAATATGGGATAACTCTTTTATGTGCCTACTTCAGTATGTAATAACTCTTTTATGTGCCCACTTCAATATGGGATAACTCTTTTATGTGCCTACTTCAGTATGTAATAACTCTTTTATATGCCCACTTCAATATGGGATAACTCTTTTATGTGCCTACTTGAATATGGGATAACTCTTTTTTTGTGTCTTCGTCGGTTTGTGATAACTCTTTTATGTGCCTACTTCAGTATGTAATAACTCTTTTAGGTGCCTACTTCAGTATGTAATAACTCTTTTAGGTGCCTACTTCAGTATGTAATAACTCTTTTATGTGCCTTCGTCGATATGTGATGACTCTTTTATGTGCCTACTTCAGTATGTAATAACTCTTTTAGGTGCCTACTTCAGTATGTAATAACTGGTTTATGTGCCTTCGTCGGTATGTAATAACTCTTTTATGTGCCTACTTCAGTATGTAATAACTGTTTTATGTGCCTACTTCAGTATGTGATAACTCTTTTATGTGCCTACTTCAGTATGTAATAACTCTTTTATGTGCCTACTTCAGTATGTAATAACTCTTTTATGTGCCTACTTCAGTATGTAATAACTGTTTTATGTGCCTACTTCAGTATGTGATAACTCTTGTGTGGTTACCACGTTGAAATGATAACTATTGTATATGCTTACTCCCGTAGGTGATAAATCTTGCATGTTCCTTCTGCTAGAGTGTTATGTGCTTACTCTGGTATCCGCCTACTTTCAGACTGGCTTGTGCTTACTCTGATTTGCGAATTGTCTATGACGTGCTTATTCAGGCTGGCATGTGCTTACTTTCATACTGGTATGGTCTTACTCTGGTATCTGCTTACTTTCAAAATGGTGTGTGCTTACTCCAAGGTACGCCTAGTCCGTAACGTGCTTAGTTACGACTTGTATTTGATTACGATCTTACTGATATATTCTTGCGTGTGCTTACTCTGGCATGTAGAATAAAATGTGCTTAAGCTGAAGTTTACTCATTAGCACATGTGTACTCTATTGTTTCGCACAAAATATCGCCGTTTCGCTTGACAAACAAAGCATGAATTAACAGGATGGAACATGATATTTTTTCCAGTTTGAGTTTAAAAGCTGTTCAAATTAAGCTGTGTATAATTCCCCTGGTAAAAAAGTATTAAAAACGTAAACGATGACGGTAGTCGGTTTCACTACACAAGAACAGACATAGTTTAATAAATAAAACTCCTTCACATATAGATACGTCTTCCATACAACTCTGGAAAATTATTAAGCACCTCAAACAAATGCGATCTTATATTTCATTAATAAATAGCAGTTATTTAAAAAAAAATCGCATTTACAAAGTGACACATTCATATTATTGTAATGAAATGCTGAAACGTAATTAGATTGTGTGATGACATATTTCATTACTGTTCCATGATAATAAGTATGGATAAGATATATGGATGAACAACTTCTTTATTACAATTAGGAGCGACGTTTTGGTGTAGGCTCTAACACCGTTATCAAGCAGTTGATGGTAGGTACCACTTGCTTGATAACTATGTTAGAACCTTCACAGAAACGTAGTTCCTAATTATAATAAAAAAGTTGTTCATCCTTATATCTTATCCTTAATTAGTACTCCAAGTTCCATATTCCTCTCAAAGACGATTTCCATGACAATAGTTGTTTGACAATTGCTTCTTCTGTGTCTTACATCATATACGACCGGATTCCTGCGATCTCTTGGAGGAACATACATACCAACTTGTCATCACGTATCGATGGTATCTTAGACATGTATGGCAATGGGATCGGTGTCATATGTGGATATTTCCAAACAATACACGGACGTTCGGAAAGAACAGTTTTCCAGGTGTATTTTTCATGAAACCAACGAAATGTCAGAATTCACAAAACATGCTGTTTCCCCAGGTGTAAGTATTGGCGGAATTCTGACGTTCTTCATCTCAGGATATCTCGGCGGCGTCTCCCTGGACAACGGATGGCCTCTCATCTTCTACGTGTTTGGTAAGTCGACATTCTGCCATTCGGAAATGTTCTCCACATGTCTGCCTTGAAACTTTGCATTGCTGATGCATTGAATGTTGCAACCTTGACCAAACAACTTTTGAGCAAGAGTCGTATGACGCTCTTAGACATCTTCGTGGAAAGAGCGCATGCTCGTTTGTACCTCGTTAGACACCAAGGGCTGGAGAGCTGCAATATTGCTCGGCTTAAAGATAAAGTTGACTATTGGAACGTTAAAGTCACCACTCTTGTCACACACTCTGAATCTTTACGCTAAATATGAAACAGATGCACTTTGTGTATACTGTGTGTAGGGATCTTAAGGTTGGGATACCAGACAATATCAACGGAATACAATCTGAGTGGTTGTATTAGCAGATTGCCACAGATCACTGTAATACCCAAACAGCCGATCCCAATTTAAGGACATTAGGCTTAACCACGGACTATATAACCGCCTTAACGAACACTTGAATTTAACCCAAATGTTAAAAGCCCTTTATAGTAATGCTTGTGAACTGACATATACCAAGACCCTTCAATTGGATATTCGCTGATGGACAACGTCAACATAAGGTGAAGAAACATCCGAATTGAACACAATTTGTGACCAACCATTTTTGTTTGTTTGTTTGTTGTTTAACGCTGCACTCAGCAATATTCCTGCTATATGATGGCGGTATGTAAATAATCAAGTCTGGACCAGACAATCCAGTGATTGACATCATGAGAGTTGATCCAGGCAATTGGGACACGATGACATGCATCAAGCAAGTCAGATAGCCTGACTACCCGATCCCGTTAGTCGCGTATTACGACCAGCCATGAGATAAGGGACCTTCTGGGTGAAAAATCACATTTTGACTTTTCATTATGTTTTACAACAACATTTTCTTCGGAACGCAAAAATACAATTCACAAGCTTCAATTCATATTTATTACAGAGATACATGACACCACACATGGCTATCTTCACTGAAGTAAATTTACGTCAAACGGTCCCTTTTTTCCTGGTGGGTCACATTTGGTAAATATCATATGATTAGTCCTACTAGTAGACTTCAGTGGGGCTGTCCTTTCTATAATCAAATGCACGAACTATGTCTGCCCTTTGTAGGTGGTTTCACACTGCTCTGTGTGTTTCCCTGGGTGGTGTTTGTGTCCGACTCCCCAAGGGACCACCCCCGCATCACGGAGAAAGAGATGAAACTGTTCACCCGGGATCAGACAGCTGGAAAAATGGACAGAAAGGCAAGTGAGACGATATTTAAAGAAAACGTAATCTTGTTGATATGTATTGAGTAATGACATACTGATATTATATTTATCTTAAAATATAAAATAGACATTTAACTCCTCAAGTCACGCGAATGAATCTGCCATTAGTAACCTGCCAGAGTGTTTTTGTTTTTGTTGTTTAAACGCCGCACTCAGCAATATTCCAGCTATTTGACGGCGGTCTGTAAATAATCAAGTCTGGACCAGACAATCCAGTGATTGACATCATGAGCATCGATCCACGCAATTGGGATACGATGACATGCATCAACCATGTCAGCGAGCCTGACCACCCGATCCCGTTAGTCGCCACTTACAACAAGCATAGTCGCCACTTACAACAAGCATAGTCGCCACTTACAACAAGCATAGTCGCCACTTACAACAAGCATAGTCGCCACTTACAACAAGCATAGTCGCCACTTACAACAAGCATAGTCGCCTCTTACAACAAGCATAGTCGCCTCTTACGGCAAGCATAGTTCCTAATATTCCTTGCCATTTGTGCGTAACTGTCATGTGAGATGTCGTCATTATAACTACCGTTACAAAGCAATTTTCCCCATCGTCTTACGTTACTGAGTGATGCATCAGAGACAAAATCATGTCAGCATCTTTTCCGCATGTATTTTTTGCGATTATGTAGCGTTAGGCTTCAATGAAATAAATAGAAGACCACCCTTTTTTAACCTTTCCGAGTTACTCCTCCCCTTGTTTTGTCTGTATTTATTTACCGCCAGGACTTCAAAAGTTCACCTGACCACTTAGGACATTAACTGCTCATTGATTGAAAACGTCTTCCTGGTAACCGATATTTGACAAAGTTTAATTTCGTTTATAGTTACGCTATAGTTTATGGTAGTTCATGGAACATCAAAACATTTGATTTTTCCCACACGACAAACCTAAGGACAAACGTTATTCCTTGATTTGTTTGTCTCTAAGCGAAGTGACCATAGATAGTTACAAATAGTTACTCTTTCTTCAAAGGTTTTAAGGGGCAATCGGATAGCTTAGTGGTTAAAGCGTTGGCTCGTCACGCCGAAGACCCGGGATCGATTCCCCACATGGGTACAATTGGTAAAGCCCATTTTCCGCGTTGATATTGCTGGAATATAGCTAAATGCGGCGTAAAAACATACTCGACCACTCAAATGTTTAGGACAGTTTGCCAAAAAAGTAAATGTCATTTGAAATGCTGGTCTTCCTCATCGATGACATCTATGACAAATGTGGGGATAAGACATGCAGGTGCAAGCTAGGCATCCCAATTGGCTCCAACTGTTCTCCCCTTCTTGCTGATCTGTTCTTTTTGTATATAAATCAGAATTTCTGCTCGGATTGGCAAAATGCAAAAAAAAAGGGAATGGGCCAAAAGAAAATGATTTCTTTATAACGATATAGATAATATAATGGTATTTTATTCAATATTTGTCTAGTGCACTGTAAAAGCCCGTCAGTTTCGAAAACTTACCTTCCAACGATAACCGGTACTGTTAACTACAATAGGGCATAAAACCATTTCTTCTAAATCCGGACATGTGTTTGTGCAGATGACTCCCGTGGAACGTTACCATTTGGTTTAACAGAGTTTCACTGAATACTTTTTCTATATCATCTTATTCAACGTCAACGTTGTCCTTGTAGATGCCGCGGCCGCCATGGAGTAAGATGTTGACGTCGCCGGCGGTGTGGGCCATCCTCATCGCCCACATCTCCTACTCCTGGGTGACGTCATGGGTCATGGCGTACCTGCCTAAATATATGAAACAGATACTCCATTATGATATTGAAGAGGTGATGATTAGGGTTGAAACTTAAGCCACAATCTGCCCGTGATCCGGGGTAGAACAGATCTTCAGCAAGCCTTGCTTGCCGTAAAAGACGACTGTGCGTGTCGTAAGAGGCGATTAACGGTATCGGGTGGTCAGGCTCGCTGACTTGGTTGATGCATGTCATCGTATCCCAATTGCGTGGATCGATGCTCATGATGTCAATCACTGGATTGTCTGTGGTCCAGACTCAATTATTTACAGACCGCTGTCATATAGCTGGAATATTGCTGAGAGCGGCGTTAAACAACAAACAAACCAGACCAAACTTAATCCAGAATTAGTGGCCCAGTCGTCGTCATCAACGCAATCTGCTGTGCAGAGTTGCGTCCATTAGCCATGTCACAATCCGATTAGCTTTGGTCCGAATGCCAGGTTGGCTATGATATTAGTTCTTGTATGACAGCACCAGATCAGTAAATTAACATTAAACAAGGATAGGACATGTGGATGAACAGCTTTATTGATACAATTAGTAGCGACGATACGATGTAGAACCTACACCGAAAGGTCGCTCCTAATTGTAATAAAGAAGTTGCTCATCCATATATCTTATCATTACTTAGTACTCAAACTTCTAAATGCCCCCAAGGGGTAGCCTAGTGGTTAAAGCGTTCGCTCGTCACGCCGAAGACCCGGGTTCGATTCCCGACATGGGTACAATGTGTGAAGCCCATTTCTGGTTTCCCCCGCCGTGATATTGCTGGAATATTGCTAAAAAGCGGCGTAAAACCATACTCACTCACTCACTCTAAATGCCTCTCAAAGAAGTAAATTAACATATATTGTACTTCGGGCTTTCCTCCCGAAGATTAATATTTGAAATACTGTTTAAAGCGATATGAAACCAACCCACATACGTATTCGAATCGAACCAACGAATATGATCACGGATGGATGAAATAATTGCCTCTTTTGTGACAATAATGGGATGATAATATTGCGATAACTACAACTGATGACTGTCATGTTCTATTTAAAAAGAAGATGTTTATAGAGAACAAAATCAATAATGCAGAGTTATGTGTGCAAATTCACATGGAAAAACATGGTCTTGCAGGATGGCATACTGTCGTCAGCACCATTTGCTGGAAGGTTGTTGGTCGGCCTGGCTTCAGGCTACGTATCTGACTGGGTGCTCTCCAGGAGACTTCTGTCAACAGCCAATATTAGGAAGATGTTCCAGCTCGTGGGTACGTCATGGTAACGTCAGTGGCAAGATGTTTCTTATCTGGTGTATTTAGTGTATGTCAAATAGAAAATGGTTTACTTGGGGTTAACAATTATTATCGTGTTCCTGTCGTCACAAATGTACGTTATGATTGACGTCATTGCCATGACATCGTCAGAAAACCATTGTCTGGATGCCCTATGAGGATCCTGGTTAGAATTGGTCTTCAGTATGCTTGTCGTAAGAGGCGACTAACGGGATCAAGTAGCCAGGCGCGCTGACATGGTTGATGCATGTCATCGTATCCTAATTGCGTACATTAAATAAGAGATAAATCAAGTCAATAATCGTCATCTGATCAGACCCGAGTGAAACCAAGATCTGCTCGGGAGTTATATTTACGTATCGCTCGTCACCATGCCGTAAATAATGACGTATTTCTGTTGGTAAGGATATTGTTTGATTTTCAGGCTGTGTTGGTTGTGCAGCGTGTACCATTCCCATCGGGTTTCTGGACCATGAGAATCGAACTCTGGCTGTGATTCTGTTAATACTTGGTTTGTCCCTGCAGAACTGTACATCTGTCGCCTTCAGAATCAATCACCTCGATATAGCGCCAAGGTAGGTTATCATGCTGCCATAACAACCTAATAATAGGTAATATATGTGGTACATTGTCACGGTCATTGTTTGGCAAGGATAGCTGCATGTTGTCTTTAAAGAGGCATGGGTGGTACTGGCGGCGGTAGCAGATGTTGTTGTATAACTACCGGAAGTAATTAGTGTTTGCAGTGACATAAGGTTCCTGTTTGCGGCCGATTGGTTGCAGTGCTGGCATCAGTATTAACAGGAAATGAAGGTGGTAACAGAAATACATGTTAAACGTTTGGGAACAGTGACTGACTGAGTCAGTGAGTTGGGTTTAACGCCGCTTTTAACATTATTCTAGTAACATCGCGGCGTGTCAGCTTAATGTGGGAGGAAAGCCCGAAGTGATGCAGGTCTCAGACGTTTACCACTTCGGTGAAACCCACGAGCACGGGTATGGTGCTGACAAACCTAGAAACATAATTTGGGCGAACCGGGATTCGAACCCACAATCATAGGTTGGAGTTGAAGTGGATATACTGGTCGGTGTGGGTGGGCTTCCGGTAGCCACTAGTTTGGATTCTGTTTGTTGGGCTTCTGGCGACGAGGACATCCGGGAAGGGTAGTTGGTTGTCCTTTTCTATTTCTTCACCCACCTCAACAATTATCCACCAAGTCATCATCTCTGTACTTCATCCCAGACCTGCGAACCATAAACCCAAATCAGCGCCCTTGAAGATTATACCCGATCGCTGGGCTGTACCTCTATATAAATAATGAGTGAGTGAGTGAGTTTTGGTTTAACGCCGCTTTTAACATTATTCTAGTAACATCGCGGCGTGTCAGCTTAATGTGGGAGGAAAGCCCGAAGTGATGCAGGTCTCAGACGTTTACCACTTCGGTGAAACCCACGAGCACGGGTATGGTGCTGACAAACCTAGAAACATAATTTGGGCGAACCGGGATTCGAACCCACAATCATAGGTTTCTGACAGCCCAAGGGACGTAACTCCGGCTGTTGTAACAGAAGTACGTGTTGGAACAGGGGAAGCATAGGTGAAAGAAGGGTTTAGGCAGCGAGGTATTTACTTCTTCTTCAACCGCCTCAAAACTTCTATATCTCACCATTACTGCAACTCTTCCCGAAACGGTAGTGGTAACCGTAGTGACACAGAAGAGGGTGTGCCATCTTACACTGCGGTACCTTCAGCGTTAAGGTCTTCCCCTTCCGAAGACTGTTTGATAGTCCAGTGTGTGGTGTCTGCGTCAGGGAAACCTCTCTTGTTCGGATACCAGATGAGGGACGATTTGAAACGGTTTGTTTTGTTGATTTGAGCGCTTCCCATGTAGCCCATTTCGCAGGTTCATTCTGAATGCATTTACACTTTGATCACACAATTGGCCCATCCCTCACATGTGATATTCCATTAACCGTTCATGGTCAGTACTGGTGAACGTCTACAGTACTTTTGACTGATGCATTGGTTAATACTTCTTTTCAATCATTAACAAATTCTTCCTCTATTTCCTCCTACAGGTTTGCCGGTGTGATGATGGGCATAACCGTGACATGCGCAATGGCCGTCTCTCTGTCTGCACCGCTCATCACTTCGTACGTGATAAAACAGGTTTGTACAGCCCTGGGTGTAAAGATAAAAGTCTTCATACCGAAGAGACGCGATCATTTACTAGGATTGTGACCCAGTTTTGTCTATCAGCTTGTACATGGTATATGTTCTCTTGGTTTGGGCGCACCCATCTTCCACAGCATGGACGTTAACTGATTACAAAAGAATCTAGTTTCTACGCACAGGCAAGGGAGTTAGCTGACGAAAACAGTCCAGTTTCCTCCTTTGCCAAAGTAGGCCGAAATTTCTGAGTTATAGTTTGGCTGGCCTAATGAGTCCATCCATAGTCCAAAATAAAACTATCACGTAACGAAATCGACATCCGGTTCGTAAACCACATGGCGACTGCCGTGCAGATTACGGTCGAATGCAGGATTTGTCAATGCAAGATGATAATCAGTATAGATTATCCGCCGAAACAGATTCCTCTTGGCGTAAAGAGCAAACTAGCTGTGGAAATTATATGAATGGACATCTGAAAATCAGTGATGACACCAGGATCTGGTGTATACCGCCAATTGGGCGTCGACAGATAATTTACAAAACTTAATGTTTTTAATCAAAGTGCTTAAATGATTTGACGCACCCTTTTTATAACAAAATAGATCTTGATTATCGATCATATCGTCTTGACTGGGTGTCGGCATTTTGTTTGAAGCAAATGCATGTGACACAAGGGGTGGAATCTCATAGGTCAGTAGGAGGGACATAGAAAGGACATAACTCGTACAAGCCACTGGTGGCGCAATGATCGATCCACGAAATCCCAGCCAAGTTCGGCAAGGGTGAAAACTGGACTTTTACAGTCAATTAACTCCCTTGCCCCTGGAAGATGGGATGCACTGCCCGTGGAGATTATCACACAGATCCCGACGTTGACACTAACCCAGGACCTATTTCTCTAGAAGAATTAAGAGATGCTATCTTGTCAAAGTTACATTGGACATTAAAAAACTAACAGCTCTAAATGTGGTCAACTTGAGGTGACAGTAATATTAATCTAATCTGATATGAACGACTATATGTATTTAAATCAGATCTTAGTTCTCGCTACCACTAAATAAAATCATTACGGATCACGCCAGAACGACCTTTACTCCGACCAATCATAGCGTCTCCAGATCGGGAAAGTGAACGTCGGAATGTTTTCTAATCATGCAGCCTCGAAAAGGTTAACACATGGCTGTTACAGACAGTACGAGTTATTCCGTCAAAATCATCGTCTGTCTCTCGCCTCAGTGGGGGAAGAGACATTGCAATCCCCGTGTGAAGTACTGCCATATGATCTCTGTCATTCCAGCATTTACTATTTTTTAGTTTTCAAATTATGAATCGATATTTTCAAAGCGTAGTCTTGAATGGAAGCCACCAGACCTAAACTGATTGGCTAATGGCAACTTCTTGCTGGTCATATTATTGGCCGGTTCAAAATTTTGGAAGGTCGTTCTGAAATGATCTGCAATTGGATGTCCTGTCCTAATGAGATTTTCATACGTACTGATATTGATTCTGTTTCTGATGACATTGAACGTGTCGTGAAAGTATATCTAAGACTGATGAATCTGGAATCTTTTGGTTGACGTGTTAATGCTATTCTCCGTTGTGCGCCAAGAGCAGATGGCAAGAGATCAATGGCATGCTAGGAAACAATGATGTCAAATTGTAATGAACGCTTTGCGTCTAAAATATGGAAAACATCTGACGTTACCCGTGTCCATCGTCTTGGTATAAGACACCGACAAGATTCAGGCAGTAAAGGCTTGACCCGTGGGTAACTTAAGCGGACTTTGAAGCAATTAACCGCACGTCAACGTCAAGAACTACATGTTCTCAAAAGCGTTATTCTGGCTACTTTAAGAATGGTAAATTTGTGACAAAACCTTGTGAAACTGCGAACAGTACCTCTGATACTTAACAGGAAACACATTTAAGCCGAGCAGGGTTTCAAATATTATTCAACTTGAAAATTGAAATTGAAACACTGTCGAATAGTCCACTTCCATAAATATATCCAGACGCCCTTATATAGCACATGTATGTAAAAAAAGACCCGTAAAACCTTCGAGTTTGTGCGTTGTGAGTGAAGATGAGAAACTTACTTTCCCGTGTTGGTACGCGAATGGATTGAGTCATAAAAAGTTGATGACAGTGACTTCATCTCGTACCCGCACAAATTCCAAATAGTGTGTCGTGTAGTGACATTCATCATCCAAAACTGGCTCCCACAGGAGATATCTACACTGTAGATATCGCTGCAATGAAATTGCATCACAATGCTTTGCAGACCATTGTGACGTCATTGGTTACCATGACGTCACAATCAAATGACATCACTAATGGCTCTGCTACTGAAGCTGTTAGCAGTACTTTTTACACTTAAAGGGCAAGTTCACACGGAAATGAACCTAATTTTCTTGTACTTTTTCCACAATAAAAGTGTTAACCTAGAAGTGTCATAGACAAAAATATAAAAATATCACAATTAATCAACATATGTTTTGCATTAAAACGATTTATATTTTTCACATTTACCAAGTGTTCTAATTCCATAACAAAAACACCATGGCTTATGCCCCTTGCAATATGACGTCATTGGTGCCAATTGATAAACATTATGACGTCATCATGCTTTGTTAGAGCCGCTTCACGTGGTGTAGGTACAGGTGTGTGATTCAAGCGTCTCAGATGCCAGCCAGCATAGTTTTATGCTGAGTCACCACTGCGCCGGAGTGTGTCGTAGGCCATGTTGTTTTACCGAAAACTTGTACTTGATATCTTTTGCGTTGAGAATAGACAGGGACCCAGTTGAATTGGCACCAATTACGTCATAATCCAAGGGAGATAACTCAGGCCTGTTTAGCTCGAAAAACGAAGGCCTCATAACGGCATATCATTTACACACTATTGTGAGCTTCCTACTTTCACTGTGAAAAAAATGAGTGTATATTTTCAAACACAGATACTAACTAATTCTAAAATTGCGTTTTGTTTAGAAAAAGAAAGAAAGTAATTTTTGCGTGTACATTTCCCCTTTAAGACACTGCTTATTACTGTCTACAAACTGAAAAAGTTTGAAGAATGATGTTGGATGATAAATAAAGACACTCGGGTGAGATTCTCTATTTGTTTATGGCAAGTCAGGCATAACTAAACGGATGGTTATCCTGTTTTCAGAATTTAGTGATTCTTATATAGTTGTTTTTGTGATGCCATGATCTCACGTACAGGTTAACACAACCTGTTGATAACAAATTTGGTCAGATATTGATAGGCATGTGTTATTCGTTTTAGTTAATTATTGTTAACGGCAGGCTTTATGGAGACGCAGAAGAGGAATATTCATATTGTGATCATCAGGGCTGTAGTCTGTTTTCGTTATCTGTTCTGTTATCTGAGTGAGTGAGTATGGTTTTACGCCGCTTTTAGCAATATTCCAGCAATATCACGGCGGGGGACACCAGAAATGGGCTTCACATGTTGTACCCATGTCGGGAATCGAACCCGGGTCTTCGGCGTAACGAGCGAACGCTTTAACCACTAGGCTACCCGACCGCCCCTCTGTTGTCTGAGTGAGTGTGAGTGTTTAAAGTGTTTGTCGTTATTTCATACTAATATACTTCTGGGTTTATTCTTCAGGGAACTAGAAAAGAATGGCAAATAATTTTCTCGATCGTTGGTGGTTTAAACATTGTCGGCGCAGGCGTATTTGTGTTATTTGGAAAAGGGACAGAACTTGACTGGGCAAGGGAAGTTACTACAGAAACACATACAACGCACGACGAGAACAATACTCCTTCAAATAATAATGCTATGGCGAGAAGAAGTCCCAGGAACACAGTTTCTGATGACAAAGTGCCCCGAACTGATGACGATGTGCACCAAACTGATGAAGATGTTCACCGAACGGATGAGGATGGGACCCGAGCTGAAGACGATGTGACCCGAACTGATAACGCTCTTTACCGTACGGATGACGATGTGCACCGAAATGATGACGATGTGTCCCGAATTGATGACGAGCGGACCCAAACTGAAGACAATGTGACCCGCTTATGATGTGCCCCGAACTGATATATGTACTCCAAACTGATGACGATGTGCCCCGAACTGAATACAGTGTACCCGTGTTTCTATGACATCTATTTATTGTCCTATGTCATTACTATGTTGCCCAGGTGACATCTCTACATTTTTCTTTGTCGCTACTATAGTTCCCCATGACATCTAAATATTTTCCTTTGTTGTTACTATATTTCCCCATGACATCTCTATATGTTCCTATGTCGTTACTATATTTCCCAATGACATCTCTATATTTTCCTATGTCATTACTATATTTCCCCATGACATCTCTATATTTTCCTATGTCGTTACTCTATTTCCAAGGTGACATCTAAAAATGTTCCTTTGTCGTTACTACATTTCCGAATGACATCTCTATATTTTCCTATGTCATTACTATACTTCCCCATGACATCTCTATATTTTCCTATGTCGTTACTCTATTTCCAAGGTGACATCTAAAAATGTTCCTTTGTCGTTACTACATTTCCGAATGACATCTCTATATTTTCCTATGTCATTACTATACTTCCCCATGACATCTCTATATTTTCCTTTGTCGTTACTCTATTTCCAAGGTGACATCTAAAAATGTTCCTATGTCGTTACTACATTTCCGAATGACATCTCTATATTTTCCTATGTCATTGCTATACTTCCCCATGAAATCTCTATATTTTCCTATGTCATTACTATACGTCCCCATGACATCTCTTTATTTAGCTTTGTCGTTACTCTGTTTCCCGGGTTACATCTAAAAATGTTCCTATGTCATTACTTAACTTCCCTGTGATATCTCTATATTTTCCTATGTCATTACTATACTTCCCCATGACATCTATATATTTTCCTATGTCATTACTATACTTCCCCATGGCATCTCTATATTTTCCTTTGTTGTTTCTATATTTCCCCATGACATCTCTATATTTTCCAATATCGGTCCTTCTTTTTCCAATGTCCATCCACATCGTGCTTAGTCGAAAAAGGCCGTTATACCTCGTTATACAGTGATGCCTGAGACAGTCGAGCATTAGCTATAAGCCACACGGCTAATTGAGTGAAGGAACGGAGTGTTCCACGCTAACAGCAGCTTTCCCAGCTAAGGTATGTGTGTTGTTGTCGGGCTAAGATCCTTTTGTGGAACCATACTCTGATTAGAGTGAGTGAGTGAGTTGGGTTTAACGCCGCTTTTAACAGTATTACAGTTATATCACGGCGTGTCAACTTAATGTCGGAGGAAAGCCCGAAGTGATGCAGGTCTCAGACGTTTACCACTTCGGTGAAACCCACGAGCACGGGCATGGTGCTGACAAACCTAGAAACATAATCGGGGCGAACCGGGATTCGAACCCACAATCATAGGTTTCTGGCGTGCCCAAGGGACGCAACTCTGCACAGCGAATCGCGGCGCCCTAGACGACTGGGCCACCCGTGCCCCCTACTCTGATTAGAATGTCTCCAGACTGACAAAGTGAATAGTGTATTGTATGTCTCAGGGGTCAAACGTTTCCCAGTTATGTAGTTTTATGTTGCGCAAATAAAATGATGATACAAAAGTGTTCATCAGCGATGTTTTATTCTGTCGTTGGAAGACGTATTTCAGTAATTATGTATACAACCTGGGCAACATGAGTACAAAACGTTAGATCTTGCAATTAATAATAAGAACAAGTCGCAAGATCTGTCACGTTATGCCCTTTGAGGATCTTTTTGAGGCGATATCGGTTGAAAGTGTGCAAAATCGGTTCCATCAGAAGCACTCGTAAAACCTCCAAACCGCCGATACCAATTTAGATGGAACTGATCATTAATTCTCAAAGGCATTCAGCAAATCGTCACTATCTGACCATCCAGGAAGGTCATAACGGTAATTCTACCATGACAGTGAAGAATGTCTGATAATGATCGATCAACCTCTGATTACAATCACATATGTAATTCCATTCGACACCTCATACTTAACATGCCTTTCCACACAAAGAAACGTTCCGTATGAAAACATCAAACTATCGATAGTCTTCGCACTGATGCATATAACAATGGCTGTCGATAACCAAACAGAATCGTATAAGTTGATTTTAGAACAACAGCTAATTAAATGTGATGATTTTTTTTTTAAACACAAACAATTACCGTCAGTAAAACACACACAAACAACTGTCACCGTGAAACTACTGGTAGCTATGGACAGTGGCGCGGGAATGGAAGTAGGTCACTTCCAAATAAGGATATGATATATGGATGAACAACTTCTTTATTATTATTAGGAGCGACGTTTCGGTGTAGGTTCTAAAACCGTTATCAAGCAAGTGATGTACAGAGTATGGTTGACAAGTATATATACAGGATAGAAGGCAGTGTTTATACAGTTTAGTAGCGTTAATATGCAGTTACACTGTTGGAGTGGAGAAGCCTGTTATGTACACAGAAGGTTAAAACATATTGACCGGTGAAGCCTGTAATATAAATAGGCTTCGCCTCTTATGACAATCATAGTCGCTTTTTACGGCAAGCATGGGTTGCTGAAGACCTATTCTAACCCGGATCTTCACGGGTCTTTTGAATAGGTATTACTGTTGCTTGGAAATACCCCAGAGGCGGATACAGCTTTTTTGAAAAGGGGGGGTAGGGGGGGGGGGGGGGGGGGTGCATAACTAAGATCTATTTTTTTCGAAATAAAAAGGGGGAGTGCGCACCCCGGCAACCCCCCCCCCCCCCCCCCCCCCCCTCCCCTCTGTATCCGCCCATGTACCCACTAGTACATAAGTACAACTTGATAATCAAAATAACTTAATAAAAGTAACTGTGGTCAAAATTAATAAGTTATTTGAAACCTTTGAATCCCTTCAGCGTTTTACATCATTGTTTCTACATGTCCTGTCACACCTACGAAGTCTTATTTATTTCTAATTGCTAATGGCTAATTTCATCAATTCTTTTTGAAAAAACATATTTTGTAACCATTGTTTTGAACTAGTCAAGAATATCAGAACTTAATCTTGAACTTGAGGAATACCTTTCAGCTGGCCTATTTGTCATGCGAATGTACGTGTTCCTAGAGAGTACCTTACCACCAAAGCGTCTTTGTCGTCATGGTAGACGCTAAAGCCCTCGGTTCCAAATTACAGTCACAGGTATCAAATATACAGTTAGAGTACCTCAAACTAAGGCACTGTGAACTGTAAACTGAGAATAATCACATTTGATACAGGAGTTTTTTAGTCGCAAAATTTCGGAAGGATACGTTTTGAACCCATAAGAAAGTTTAGAGATAATTGCAATGATTTGAACTGACATGTATATCAGTAAAACATGTCAAGTTAGTTAAATCACCCAAGCCTCTGCTGTCAAACTTCCACTGGTTCACCGTGCTGGGTCCTGATCATCACAGTATAAATAATTCCTTAAAATGATTTCAATAAAATGGTTAGTCATCAAACTTGCTCGTGTTTTTGGGGGGCACTGGTGGCCACCCAAACGTCTAGGTCGCCGCAATTCACAGTGCAGAGTTGCGTCCCTTGGAGACGCCAGGAACCCTCGTTTGTGGGTTCGAATTCCAGATTCAATCTGATTATGTTGCTTGATTCATCAGCACTATACTATTTCTCGTGAGTTTCACCAAAATGTTTAGCGTTTAAGACCTGCATCACTTATGGCTTTCCTCACACATCTAGCTGACACGTCGTTATATAACAGGAATTCTGTAACTCTTTCCATAACCCTGTTTAGAAATCTGGTCTGTACATAAGTGGTTCCCGCTAGTCTACGTAATTAACAATGCAAGGCTGAACTCGCTTGAAAGCTTTATATTTCACATTCCGTTATTTACAACACACATGGTCACGTGATAGTTAACATTTTATACGTTTGAAAATACCTGTTATGTAAGTCCGTCAGTGAGGCCATGCTTGGGGGCCTGTAAATTCACTTTTAGACTGGGTAGACTTGAAAAACTCGGCCCGGAAATACGTGTTACAAACATCCTCGTTCCCACGGCCGTCCTTCATCTTGTAGGAGCATTAATTCATAGTGAGTGAGTGAGTAGGATGTAACGCCGCTTTTAACAGTATTCCAGTTATATCATGGCGTGTCAGCTTAATGTGGGAGGAAAGCCCGAAGTGATGCAGGTCTCAGACGTTTATTCCACTTTGGTGAAACCCACGAGCACGGGTATGGTGCTGACAAACCTAGAAACATAATCGGGGCGAACCAGGATTCGAACCCATAATCATAGGTTTCTGGCGTGCCCAAGGAGAACGCAACTATCCTTCAGTGTATCCTTAAGAATTGACTTCAATATACTTTGCGTTTATTGAGGAATAAATGTTAAAAATACCCATTGTACACACTGTGTACATCCACGTGAATAAGTAAGTGAAGAATAAACACAACACTGTAGACAACAATGCGAAATAAATGACATCTATTAGTCCGTGGAAATAGACCATGCATATTTTTAGACCATATAGACAGTTTGACCATGCAGATGGATAGACCATGCATACAGAAAGTGCAGATTGTCAGGACATGAGGATCCGGGTTAGAATTCGTCTTCAGAAGACCATGCAGATCGTTAGACCATGCAGATAGGCCGTACGGCTAGTTAGACCATCGAATAGTAAGACCATGCATATTGTTATACCATGCATATTGTTATACCATGCATATTGTTAGACCATGCATCTAGTTAGATCATGCAGTCATTTAGACCATGCAGATAGTTAGACCATGCAGATTGTCAGACTGAAGATATAAAGAAGAAAGACCCTTGAGATTGTCACATCTGTGTAATTGCTTCTTTCGATGGGCGTTCCTGTGTAACAATGACAGACGTTTTGCAGTACACAGTCAGAGTACAAAATCCCATTAGCTGATGTTTTCGCACATCCTGCTTAAGCTGTGGTGTCTTGCTTAAATCCTGGAAGTCTGTGAAGCTGAACACGACTGAAAATACCACTCTGATTTCAGAAACTCTGTCAGGCAGCAACATT